TTCTCTTGTACAATCGCATTGATACGTCCATGACCAATATTTGCAGAAATGGAGAAAAGGTCAAAACCTTGAGCATTTGTCCGGCATGGTTTCCACGAGGCTTTGGCAAGCGTACGTTTCAACCACAAGCACTACATAGAACTACAAAGCCATGCGGCTACTAAAATGGCCAAAAAATTCGTCCAACCCAGTAAATCATCCAGCTTGCAAACAAAGAACTTTGCCACATTTCACGGCCGCTTCCAAAGGCCTTTCTTTTTAAGGCCTCCGAACCCCAAAATACACTGATACATGGCGTAGCTGGCATTTGTCCGGCGCACTGATGGAGGGTGCAATTCATTCGAGAAATGCAGGGAATGCCCCCAAAGACAGAGGGCTTCTGCCTTCCTTGTAGGAATAAAGTAAGGCCCTGCGACAGCCCTTAAAGCTGATATTGGTGATACCCTCCCACCGATTAACATGGAACCTGACAGGATGTTCCTGGTTTCGACCCTTCTCTTTTAAGGGGCCCCCAAACGTCAGGTTGCATGTTGATTGGTGGGAGGGCAACTGGGATATTGGTATACGGTATAACTGCTTTCCTGTCGAAGCTGCGAAAAGTCGGTTTCTTGGCAAGTTCGTCCAGTGGAGACCTGCAAAAACGCACGAAAACGAGCAACGGACAAGAGCGCCTTCCGTGCCAGCACGGAGTTCTGCTTTTGCCCCAGCATGGCCTGCAGCACAGGTCGTGCTCATGTGAGTTTCAAAGGGGAACCAAAAGGAAAACCCACATTTGGGAGGTCCAACCTGAAAAACAACACATCCAACAGGACGCAGCTTCTATGAATGAACCAAAAGTTAAACAGTGTAAAGCATGTTGGTGCTTTGTATTGAGACTCATGATCAAAACCAGTGACGCCCGGGGAAATGAGAAGTGACATCAAGAGTGCCACTCAATAACTGGGCATTGCTAGATTCCACCCTGCCCCACGCACTAGCAATTCATTATGGTAGTTTACGGCAACCACCACTAAGGTGGTCTTTCGGATCGTTACTGTATGGGCTCATTCAAAAATATATCTAGGCCAATCAACAAACAACACTAGTTACCAGCTCATTCAGAACATATTTGTATAACTATGACTTGCTGGTGCTCAGGGAATCTTTGGGTTTGGGCATGAACCTAGACACCTGAGAACCAGCAATCAAGAAAATCAGCGCCAGCGGAACAGCCCCGCCCCCTCCTGGCCTGCAGTGTGGCATCCACAGCCGACCTCAAAATTGGCCGCATGTCTCTTGGAGGCATATGGGCCCCCAAAAGGATGACTTCCCTTTGACATCTCTTTAACCTACGCCCCAAGAAGGGCATCGACGCAAAAGATACGCCCTGGTAGCTGAGAGCCAGTCCATTGACTTCAACCCAAGTTGATTAATAGGGTGTGTCCCTGGGTTGGTGGAGAATCTGACCACTTTTGGGGGAAAGCCCCCTATTGAAAAACGTTTTTTTTTGGTATGGGGTCAGCATTTCCCAGCCCCAAGGCTCAACTGAGCTTCAGCTCAGGATCACGCGCGCACAACTGGCAATTCGGAATTGAGGGGCTTGATAAGAGACCTTACTTGCCTTGCTTGCCTGCGGCTACGTACGTGGAGCAAAACCCGTAATACAAGGGTGTTTGGGGTTGACTTTTGTCCGCCTGGCCTTTAGCTCAAATGCTCAAAATCCGGAATTTCTTTACTTTGTGCAATCCCCACCTCAGAGATGTGTTACGCCGCTTGCTGAATCTTCCTCATCCTAGGTCTTGTAGCCCAGCTACAGCGAGAAAGAGTTTTGCTTGGCTTGATCAAGTCTAACTGTGTCTGACATTTTGGCTTCGGCAGCCGCAGTCTTCTTCCTGCTTGAGCCGCGCACGGGCAATTACCTGCCCCTAGCACCTTGAGCCTTTGTCAGACGAACAGCCAAGCTACCACATTTTCGAGCGCACGTCAACTGCTCCACTCTTATGCAAAAACACACGGGAGAGCGCACCAAAAACAAGGCGCCACTTGTCAATGTTGCCTGGGCCTAGGGTTTGCCGGCCACCAGGGGGAGCCTGAGGCGGTCCGACCACGGGCAGGAGCCTCAGGCTTCGGACTGTCACGGCTGTCATTTCTTGTCTGTCACAGTTCTTGTAGACGTGAAGGCCACCCCAAACTCCACAGCTGTCGAAACAGGCTCTGTCACAGCTGTCATGCGGCACAATTAAAGTGGATGGGCATGCCACCTAAAACCAATAAACCTATAGAAATATATATATATATATAGTGGGTGAGCAAGCGAAACAACAAAGACAACGCAACAGCACAGCCCCAAAAACGAAAGAAACCAACCAAACGTGCGCCCCCCTGGCCCCTCGAAGGGCCAAGTAACACCAGCTCGGCGCTGCCGGTGAGGCGGGTCTCCCGCTGCAGCTTGGTTTCCACCCCCATGGCTTCCTGCTATTCGGCCCCGTGAGGGATGGAACACGTGCTGGTGGCTGGTGCTCGGTGGGGAATGAGGGAATGAACCCAGGCGTCACCTTAAAGCAAACCACGCAGAGTTCAAAGTCTTGCGGTGTGTAGTGCTCTGCGGTCGACGAGCTCGTCTGTGGGTTTCATGCGTGCTGGCTTTATTTGGGTTGCTGTGGTCAGGGGCGCTTCTCTCTAGGTTGTCTGGCATACCTGGCGAAATGCATTGAGTTAGTCCAAAACCCGGAGAGTTGTATCAAAACTTCACCCATTTCCTCCAGAGCCAGAGCGTGCAAATCCGAAATCCGGGCTTCTCGTGGGAAGTCCAGGAAAACCGAGTCTGTGAAGAAATCAAGGCAAGCCCTGCTATCCTCACAGGGGCAAAATAGGATCCCGGGGCCCCCCAAAAGAATCAGTTGGAGCACTTTAAAGGGGATTCCCTAACACCTGCTGCATCGCAGCAGGGAATCAGTTGGGAATGAACCGTTTGGGATCCCTTTCAAGGCAAATCCACCAGCTGGATGTTTTTTCGTTGGGATCATTTCCTTGCTGAGAACCAGAGGGAGGAAGAGAGGGGGCCACCGAAAAGCTTCTTCCTGGGCTCGGGAAAGGTAAAAAGAGGGCACTACAAATTGGTATCATAACTCCCTCCCTCCCCCCCAAAGAAGAAAAATAGGCAGGCAAGAGAAACCCCGAAAAACAACCGAATTGGTGTAAGCGCTGCTCATGGCTGGCCAAAAGAACACAAATGTTTCTCAAGGAGAGGACCTCAAAATCAAGGGCTTCCCCAATGTCAAGAGATCGAAGTGGGGAACCAGGCCACCAAGCTGGGCTCCGATACACACCCCCACAAACCACTCGCTGATGAGCCAGGGGAGCCATTTCAGCCTAGTGAAAGCGACAAAAATGGAGACCATTCGGATCCACAGGGCCATAACCCTCTCATGGACAATTTGCCCAGCATCGGAAACACGTGGAAACACCCAGGCCCTCCATTTGTTTGCACCTCGGAAGCGAAACTGCGAATCAAGATGAGCTGCTGGCACCAGCAACTCAGAGCAAGGCATGCATACGTCAAAGTCAATATGTTTTTCTGCAGAAAGCGATGTAGATAATATTATTCATAAGCACTTGAAAAATAATACTAATATCAATAATAACCATCGGGGTATGGCTCTTTCTGTGGCAACAAGGTTGCCCATATCTGTGACTATCTCATCTCAAAAGTTTCTCACCTTCCCCAATTGGCCATGGGGCAAAATTCAAATCGTACCTCCAGTGAGCATCCCAATCCAACCACTAAAATAGGTTCTAAAATGGGCGGTGCACCTACCAACCAAAATGGTACCAGTGGTTTTGACTCACAGCCAATTGTGCACTCATCTGCCTAACTTATCGCTCATCATGCTTTGTCCATCTTTGGCTTGCCCATCTTGCCCTAGCGCAATGCCAGTGCCAGCTCCGTGACACGAATTACCTAGTTCCCCCGCGAGACCGCTGGTCTCAGTTTTCCGGACATGCAGTCTGCGCGTGCAGCTTCAGTCGAACAGCAGTCCGGATGAATTTCAAGGAAGCGATCTCCTGAACAAACAACATCTTTTAACATACATCATATTGAAATACATACATGCGCAGGGGACCTGTACAAATGCTTGGTCTCCTTGTGCTTGTCCTTTCAAACTATGCACGAACCGTTCCAAAGGGCCGGGAAGCACCCACATGACTGATGCTCCAATGGCGGAGCTACTCGCAGTGGTTATCATCCCTGCCCTTTCAATTCATCCACAAATATTCAAAATAAGCCCTACAATGCTCAACAGAATTGACTTTGACCCCGAACAGCAAAAATGGCCCAGTCTTCTGTTGCCATGATGTAAAACCTGTGTAAAAAATGCAAGCTATACCCAAAAGATCAACCATCGCCAGCTGCAATTAACTTTGCCGCCCCTCCTCCATACAAGAGCTTGCCCGCAGGCAAACAGTATCAGGATTGCTTCCTTTTGGTAATTTCGTCCCTTCCCCTATGCATTAGGGAAATGAGATGGCCAACCGGCTGGCTTTGGACAACAGCCCGATTGTTGCAACAATTCGTGAGCCTGAACTCACCGCCAATCGAGTGGATTGGCCAAAAACAAGAAAGTTTTATTTACCACTAACCTGGGTCTGTCTAAACAGTTTAAAGTCCATGAACTCAGGAAGTGAGTGTAGTAAGGACTTCCTGAGGGAAGCTTCATGGGTGAGGCCGCGAACCAAACCTTTTGTAGGGTTTCCTATGGTGCCCCTTTTTGGCGGTTGAAACCATCACAGTTCTTCGGCCAATGCGAAGTGAGCTTCGTTTTGGTAGGGGGCACGCGTGCAGTCCTGCATGCATCCCTACGCTGAATGGCTCCAGCCATTCGGCTCTACCGGCAATAAAAAGGACCATGTTGTTGACCCAGTTCGAAGCGAGCGAATAGAATTGGGTGAAGAAAATAAAGATAGCCCCCAATGATGTTCTGCGGGGTGCAACTCAATACTGCGGCAATAAAAGGCAACTTTCCAGTAAGAAGCAACTTCACCTCGCTGGAAGGTCCCGTTTTGAGGACAAGCTGTCTGAATTAGGGGTCACAGCATCAAGCGCTATGTCACACACACAGCGCTCCGCTGATGCCATGGCCCGGCGGGTGCATGGAATTGGAAGCTCATGCAGGGCCTCTGGACGTCGTGAGGTCGCGAACCAAAATGGATCCATCCCCTTGCCTTTCTTTGGAGAAAAAACATCAACTACATGGGTTAGCCATGCTAGCCACTTGGGAGCTAGCCATACCTCCCATGTGGCCAGGGCCCAGAAACACTGAAACATCAACCACAATATGGCTGTGGGTCGAAAATAGGTACCCAAAATGGAACCCTTGCAGATGGAGGCATGGGCTAAAACCTGTGGTGCCCTGGTGGTTTAATTTTGACCCATACCCAATTATGTGTTCCTTATCAACCAGCTCGGTGTTGGAAGGCCTTTTTCCACAGGACCAATGCTCACTGGCAACAAGGAAATGCCAGAAATGCTGCGTGTCGAGCCATTGCTGATCGCTCAGCCCCAAGCCAAAGACCCACATCTGGTCGAAATACTTTGCACCACTGTCATCTAAGTGAAGGCAACATTGCCAGATGTTGTGAAACATTGATTGCATAACGCAACACAAGACATGTGCTTGCCAACACGCTGGAAGAGTCCAAGGCTGTGTCTGAAACAGTTGCAGTTGCTTTGCCTGGAGCCTCCCTCCCCTGTGCGATTGAGACTGATTGTCCTTCTGGCAGCCACCTTCTTTGGGGTGTTTGCTGTTTTTAGGGTCTTCGACTGCGAAATACGCTCCAAGAGCCTATTTGTGTCCCCCAACCCATGAAAATAGAAGCTCGCCTCGGTCGCCCCGAGTTTGGCAGTTGCCAGAGGCTCGTTTTGAGGTCAAGCAGGAAGCCTATAACAGGGATCCTTACATTATACACCTGAACATTGCCTTGTCAATGGTGGTTTCCCCTTATTTGTGTGGAAAAATGTATCTTTTAAGGAGCCCTGTATAAACAAAGCAACAGGCGCTGGAAGCGCACTCCAGCTACGGTGACCGATTTTGACCCCCAACCAGTTCCCATGAAGAGCTAGTACTAAGCAGAAGGAAACGAGAAGTCAAATCAACTGTTCGGGGGCTTAAAGGAGATTAGCTATTTATATATATATATGTGTGTGTGTGTGTGGAAATGAAATGAGAAAAAAGGGGCCGGACAAAAAGCGCGCTCATGAAAAAGTGGGACAATGGATCACAGAGGTCCTTGTGACGATCCTCCTTTCCCAAGGTGGTGACGGACGAACCAGGAGATGTTTTCACAAGAGGGGACCCTGGCCTCCGTTCCTGAAAGGCTACGGTCAACCAAAAAGAAGTCCAAAAAAGGGTGTGGAATCGAGATGAGCCGACATCACTTGCATCATCTGATCCGTTTGTGACCAAAGATGATACCCTTGCCAGGTATCTGAAGCTGGGGCCGCATGAACCCCCAACCTTTCTTCCCCAAGTCCCGGCGCCTTTCAGCCACACTCACGCCTGGCCAAGGGCACGAACTTGACCCCTGGCCAAAGAAATCCACTACCCTGCCCTACCCTACCCTGCCCTATTCTACCCTTACCTACCCTACCCTTACCTACCCTATCCTACCCTTACCTACCCTACCGCGTCCTACCCACTCCGTCCTCTTTCAGCTTTGACCTGAGCTCCAATTCGCAACAACGCTGATTTTGATTTTTTCTTGGGCATCTTCTGGCTCGCCCCTACAGCACCAGCGTGAACTGGTCCATTTGGCTTTCAAGTTAGGCTGCGGCCGGATTGCCAACAAAAGCAGAACAAGTTGCAGGGAACCCTGCCGCATGATGGAAACCAAGCATTTGGCTGTCTGCTCACAATTGAAGTAGTCTTCCAAAGGCTTCCGAGTCCTAAAAGCTACCCAAAGGGAAGCCAAGAGCCTTAAATGGATCGGCCAAGCCAAATCCTGTGGCTTGAGTGCTGCAATGGCGCGGGAACTCAAGGCAGTGGAAAGCAAGAACAGGCGATCGATTGTCCGGACTGGCCTTCGCGTCGGGGCCGGGGCCCTGGGTTTTCCGGACGCATGGGAGATCTTGCCAATGCGGCTTCCATCCAACTGGTGGCTTCCTTTAAGGGGACCAAAGCTTGGGTTCAGTCCCACCTTCCCTACTTATCGCACCAGCAAGTCCTTGCTAGCATGTCCACGCGTTCAACCGGCATCCTTGCACAACCTTTGCAAGTAGGGTCGCCCATTTTTGCACCGGGCGCCTGGTCTTTTGGCGGGTCAAGTATTGTGCCCGAGCCACTGCAGCCAGCCGTCACTCCTGTTCCCTGTGATCAATCAGCCTCTGACTACCTTTCTCGCACTGCTATGATAAGCTTGCAAGGGTGCGAACAATTGGGATTTCCCCCTTCAAGAGGGTGAAAGGCTACCGGACCATGGTCTTGAAAAGGAACCCACATTGAGGCTTCGACTCCAGCACCTCTGGTGTCCAGTGGCTGGGGAAAAGAGGGCTTCCAAGTTTTGGGCGCATTTAAGATGAATGCCAAGCTGCGCGTGGGTAAGCTTAGATCCTGGATGAGTGCAGATTTGCTCGCAGGAATAGCCGAACAGCACATACAAAGGATGTCACAAAACCATCAACACTAAAACAAAACATAATCTTTCTGGTGTTCAGTAGGGAATGAGGGAATGAACGTGAGGATTCCCTTACAGGGAGACCGCCAGTTGGATGGTGTTTCTGGGGGTCATTCCATTTCTCATTCCCTGCCTATCGCACCAGAAAGTACTATAACCAACACGCTTTGTGCCAGTCTATGTATGCACAGCCTCCCCCCATTTGAAAAAACGAAGACAAAGACAACTTTCCAACCCAAAAACAGCTGCCCGCAATCTACTTCACGTTATATTCCAAAAAGAACCCCAGCTTCTCCCCGACTACGTCGGTGTCTCCGGATTCTCGGCGCTCTGGGCCCCGGGCAGTCTGCAGGCGCAGGCAAGTGCCCACTGGGGCTCCGGCTGCCCTAAGCTGAGGAAGCGTCTCAAATGGCTATGGATCAAAACCATCAAAACCCAAATCGTCCCCCAACATCCCAATCCAACCACTAAAATAGGTTCTAAAATGGGTGGTGCACCTACCAACCAAAATGGTACCATTGGTTTTGACCCACAGCCAAATCAACTACTTAAACTTAGTAAGTGATTAGCAAGCCTGATTGCAACCCATGCACTTACCAGAGTTATAAGTTTTCTAAGTGGGGTATAACCCGACTGGGTTTACTAACATTTTCTAAACACTGAGTACAATGCCCCTTTAAGTAGGTTTTTGCTCAGAATTCGGCTTCCTTTCCAATTGGTGGTTTGGATTGGGGTGTGGAGGTTGCAGGGGGTGGTTTCCCTTTTTACCCTCTGTAAGAACCAGGGGGTTCAAATCCCACGACATCACCAATCCAAACCACCAATAAATTTTGGAAGGTCCTAAAACTGCTGAACAAAATGTACTTCGACAAGCAGACCATGGCCTCCCGCAAAGGGAAAGCAAGCAAATTGTTGGCGTGCAAATGCATGCCACGGTTGCAGAACAACACCCCGTAGAACACCCTGTTTGATGCCAAAGAAAGAAGGCCGTCATGACTACTTTGTCACTTAGGCGGCTTCCCGTATCACAGAAAGTGAGCCTACCTCGTTTCTCATGGGAGAGGCAATTTCGGGTTCGGCGAACTGGGCGAGTTCTGCAGAAGCATCTTGGCAGATTCCCAAACAACTGCACACCCTTTAGACACTAAAGAGAAACAAGTCTGGCAATCAGGGCGTGCTGTGAGCGTCCCTCGGCATCAGCGACCCGAGAAGGTTTAGGAGCTGCAACCGTTCGGCAACATAGACGTGCGCTTCTCAAAATCGGGAACGCTTCCTGATGTGCTTTAGTCTTCCTTTCTAAACCAAAAGGCTACGACCTTGTCGAAGACAGGCCGTTCATTGGAGACTTCGTTGGGGGAGTATCCTAACCCTGGCAAAAGCTGTACTTTGCTATTTGACAAAGATCTAAAACATTTTGTCTGAGGAACATTCCTGCACCGGCATGCGTATGACCCAATTCCACGCAGTGGCCCAAACAGCGACCGACGCGAATTCCTCCACTTCGGTGAGGTCTGCTTGAGTTTGTGCGATGGTACATTGGAGTCCCCCATGTCCCTCCCAAATGCACCGTAAGCCATGGCATATGTTCACTATCCTTATGGCGGGTGGTTCAAAGGAGTAGTCAAGACACCTCTTGTAAGGTTGTCCCATGCTGAAACACACCCTCAATACCCATCCCATTGGAAATTTGGCTAAAGGAATCCAGATAAAGGTTCTTTACTCCACAACCCTTGGTATGGTAGCAAAGAAACTGTAATTTGTGCTAATTAGTAAACATGAACAACCCGCCCACCCACCCGCCCTCCCGCCAGAAGGAAAAAAGAAAAAACAACACTTGCCAAGAACAGCCAAGCTCAGATTCGCGACCGTTTTCGAACCCTCCGAAGACCCGATCGCCCAGAACCCAAGAAACGACGCGGGCTGGGCGTCCAGCATGCGCAAGGGCGACTGGCGGCCAGCAAACATGACAGGCACAGCCTGAGTGATGGCTCCGTGGATCAGAGCCCAAGCTTCGATTCAAGCTTCTTGTTCTAAACCTCACTTCCTGAGTGGATTCGCCGGAACAAGTCCTGAAACTCTTCGTCTGCTCAAATGCTCCAAACCCAAAAAGTATAAAGTCCGGGAAATTGGGAATGAACCCAGTCCACTTAAAGGAAACCACAAGTTGGATGGTTTATAGCCAAATGCCTGGAACAGTGCGATACATGCACACCGCGCAACCATACTCCGCGTCGTTTGGAGTCATTTGATGAACCGCGATGATAGCTGCCTTCTGCTCAAGATGGTTGCTGTAGTTCTGTTTCCGCAGCTAGCATTTAACCCGAAACCAGCGGCCAACAAGACCCCGGTCAGAACTTTCTGCCGTGGTGCGTGCCGCGCGTGCTGCGCCAGCTGCGGCACCTGCTGCAGCTGCGGCGCAGCATAGAACGCGCCGGGCGCGGGCGCCGGCGCAACCCGGCGCACCTGGCGCGAACAAATGTGCGTCTCTTAGTTTGCTTGTCCGTTGTCTGTTTCTTTTCTTTTCTTGCCTGAAACAGGCCGCCAACATACAAGTGCTGGACATAAGCTCATGGAGAAAAAAATATGAGCCGGCTAAATAGGCACCCTCAAAACACTGTCCAAAACTCATGTCCGTGACGAAGTTGATGCCTCGATCAACATCAATACAACTTCAAATTGGTCTTTAGCTCAATATTCCGCACAAGTCGGTTTTTTTGCGCCAGCCAGATAGCTCGTTTAGTGTGTTGTGCGATCTCAACCTATATGTCATGGCACTCACTTACGAGCCTGGGTGAGTCTGGTGATCCAACTGCATATGGTCAAAGCCATAAGCTGCTGTGGCTTTTGCAGCCGGGAAACCGCGTTTTCCACATTTAGGACGCCCGCCTGTGTCATCACTGGCGAACTGGCGGCGGTTGCCATCTGCTGCCTCGGGTTGAATTGGCCTTGAATCACCTCAGTTGCCCAAAGGACCTGGAACTAAAAGGTACCAAAATGGGAAAAACAAAAGGTCAAAAGGTCGGCTTTGAACCAATGAGCCTTACTTCCTTGGTAGATTTGACAAAAGCAAGTCCAAACTTCAAACTTCCAGTTTTCCTCTGCAATTGTCTTAAACAAGTATGCAGTCAGGCTTCCTGCCCCTCAAAAGCTGTCCCCTACATGTGAGGGAAGAAGGACTATTCAGGCTGAGTCAGGCCGAAGAAAGCCAAAAAGCGCCGAAGCAATTGGGGGGGGGGGGTGTCTTGTGGGGGGGGAAGTTGGTAGGGTCCTCGCTATCTCATGGTGGAAGCCCCAAAATGGCTAATTTTCCTTTGGCTTCCCGTGGAGAATGGACAAAATTACCGTCGTACAAACAGATTCGTTTCCTCTGTCCCCTGCTTTCGTGGGAAACGAAAGCTCATTCTGAGGGTTCCCATATGAGACACTGAAAGGGGCATCTCTTCGAACAAACAATGAAGAACGAGGACAAAAGGCCTGGTTACGTACATTGACCCATGCAGAAAGCCCAATCAATTTGCTGGGCTGCGGAGAAGGACCCCGCCGAACCCATTGACGCCAACTCCCACCAACAGGCCCCACAACAAATCTGGGTGAATTATAGTAATTTCACCAACCTGAAAAAAGGTGGTTGGGGGTCTATTCCTCGTGTGAGGTCGTTATAATTCACCCAGACATATTGTAGTACCCCAGTGAACATCCCAATCCCCACTAAAACTCCGACTAAGCTGGGTGGTGCACCTACCCCAAAATTACCTCCCATTGGTTTTGACCCATGGCCATATTTTTTTCAGCTTCATTCTTTCTTCCGGCCGCAGTTGAGAGGCACCGGCCGGAGGCTTGAGGCCCCCGCGGTCGACTTCTCAAGGGGCTGCCCTGCTGGAATCGCAGGCAGGCCTCATTTAGTCAGCTTGGGGCCTCTGGGAAGGGCCTGGGTGGGTGGCTGGCTGGCTGGCTGGTTGGATGGGTGGGTGGGGTTGGTTGGATGGTTGGGTGGTTGGTTGGGTGGGGGTTGGCTGGTTGGGTGGGCCAGTGCTTGCCTGGTTGGATGGCTGGCAAAATCACCTCGAGTTGCGAAGAACCCATTTCCAGTAGTGATAGATCCTCTCGCAAGCCAACAGTGAACAATAACACACATTCTTATAAGCCATGGGAAGATAACTAGAGGAGGCTTCCGGGGTCCTTAAACCAACTCAACCCGTGACGATGGGAGCATCATGTGTGCACTTCGCCCCTTGTGTTTTTGTTGCAGGTATGGTGCGCAAGCCTTGTTATACCCCACTTACCATGGTTATACGTCTCCTATGCGGGTTATAACCAGGCTTGTTAACCAAATATTAAGTACCCTGCCCCTTTAAGTAATACTCGGCTCGAGAGTGCCCTCTGCATGATGTTATTTGGTTTGAGATGTGAATATGTTTGACTCCGTATTTTCAAAAGGCATGGGTTCCGTTAAACTTACAGTAGTAGTCCGTCAACCCCTTGCTCAAAGGGTTGTGTCATAACAAAAAAACTACAAACGCTTAACCTCTGACAGCCTAAGGATATGCCTGGAAACCACCAAGATAACATGTTGGTGGAACCGTAGGCACGAAACATGTTGGGCCTTGTTCAACCAATGTCCCGTCTGTTCTTTCCGTAGCTCCCCCCAGTGCAGCAAAGCATCTGACCATGATGCGGACACATGGTCGTCCCTTTCCGTCACAGTTACCCATGTACGGTTCCCATCTTACTTGATCACTTGAAAGGGAAATGGTGACAAACACAGCACCTCTTCTGGGTTGAGATTGAAGGGTAAGCCACCCAGCAAAATATCAGAGGGCGCGGCATAAAGCAAAACTGGACAACTTGCCCGAACATGCTGTTGGAACCTCGCTCTGATACAAAGAACCCACCAAAAAAGTGCGCCCTTGCAGGAAAATGGTTTCCAAACAAGGACCCCCAGTCAAATAAACCGGCAAATAGCCCAAAAGTCCAAGGGTTCCAACCAGAAACAATGTTCCAGGCTAACTAGGAGAGTCGTTCAAATTCGGAAAGTCCAAGGGTGAAACATGGTCAAACAGTGAATCAGTCAATCCTGTTTATGGGGCACCCAAGCTACCCCGAAGCAAGCCTGGAAAAGCTATCGAACGGAAATCACGCTGCTGGCCACCCTTCGCTAGCCATGACAAACGGATTCATGCAGCCCTGCATGTAACGCGGGCCGGTCAGCGCCGATGCCAAAAAAAACATGGAGTCACAAGCTGGAGTCTTCGCGCCGCATGTTCCTCGCCGCATGTGGCACATCCGTGGTGGAAAACACAAGTGAACAAGTGATGATACACATTACTTCTCTAATATTTATGACTCATATTTTGACCTAATTTGAATTCAGAGCCCACCACAACCTCATTTCAAATATTTCGGACCTTGTCCACCTTATGGAAAGCCAGTTGACAGAGTTCCTTTTGCATGTGGTTCCCCAAAAGGAACGTAGTCTTCCAAAACTCTCCGGTCGCCAGCTTCAATGAATTCTGAATGATTGGAGGGAGGGACGACGCCTCTCTGCACTCAGATCCCAACCGCGGATTGCACTACCTCGCACGGTCAACCAGCCGTTCGCTTGGACAGATTGTTGGACCCTGTTGGGGGGGGTCAAAAGAAGCTCAGATTTGTTTAGCTGTTCTTTTCTCGGGGGAACTGGAGGAAAACCAGGTTGAAGGGTGCCACAGAATATCAAGCTTTGGCTTCTGTTGACAAGGGCGGTCTTTGCAGCGCGCTTAACATTAACAGAAACAACACAGCGCAACACTCACACTCGTACCTAGACCACTCCAAAAAAGCCGACTCTTGACGCAAGCATTCAAAGCCGTTGGGGCGGTCGATGCAACTCAAGCTGAGAGCGCGGTTCACAGCTACAGATCACCAAACCGTAGTGTGCTTCATCCCTTGCCTGTAGGCGCCCTTCTTGGCTTGTCGAAAAGAGAGTTCTACTGTAGCATGGGCTACCCTTGATGCGCAATCTGGCGTGTACGCATGCTACCTCGACTGGCTTCCCAGGATCCAACAAGTTCCGGTCAATACATATGTGGCACGTTTGATGTGACGATACGGATCACTATTGATTATAGGGAGTTGCCAACCCCATCCACAAGCTTAGCCCAGGGTTCTCCTTGAAGAGCTTTGATACTGGTCGGATGTTCCCATCAATCGCAAAGTGTGTTCCAACCAGCGTATTTTGCGCCATGGTCATAACCCATTTTGTGGGCCATAGTCTTCGGTCTCTTCAGGAGGTTCATCAAGGCGCTTTGGCCGTTCAATTGTCTAAATCACGGCTAAGCGTCCACGAATATCCCTGCAACATGTAGCTGCTATACAGCGGTATGTATCCCTATGGGCCTCTTCCCAACCCCGCAGATGCACCCCTTGATTCCTTGATGGTTTGCATTGGTGGTTTGGATTTGGTTGGAGGGGCAAAGAGCATCTCAGACCTCCAGCCTTTTTTGGTTGAAGGAAAACCTCCGTCAAACAACTGGGAAATTGGAACATGCGCCACTGCTCCGGGATCAAAAACCCCCGAAACCGCTGAGTCGCCCGTGCCGTGGGGCCGGGGCCAAGGGGAGCATTCACACCTGCTGGGCAAGGCAAGTGGCAGGCACCCCAGCTGAGCCAGCCACAACATCCAGTCAAAAGGGTCCACCTTTATCTGTAAACCAACCAATCATATGCTTCCCCACACAACTTCAAACACTCACTGCTGCTCGCGCCAATTTCTTAGTCGAAAGCCTAAAGTGAATAAATTCAAAACCATTAACACAGCCAAAACAGCTAGTATATGCGAAAAAAATGTTTGTTTAAACTAACCTGCAACACAAACGACTAACTTGCCTGAACACAAGCCACAAAGATCAAAATTGCCAAAAGGTTGGTCACTCCCCCGATTGATGAATAGGGTACCCCGAAACCCTACCGCAACCATGTGTAGAGGCATCACATTGTTGTGATCGGTCAACTTGCAGGACGCAATCCATTTGAGGGATTGCGGCGCACCCCACAGGCAATGAACGGAAAAATGAGCTCAGCCATCTCCGGCGCCGTTTGGCAAGGCTTGGGGCCCAGTCGGAATACGTATCAACTCTCATAGGAAACTCAGTTGTTCAGTGACCCTGGGAACCCTTTTTTGGGAAGACAACATTTTTAGTGGGACCACCAAACAAAAGGTGGAAAAAGAATTGGTGCCACTGAACAACTGAGGAAATGTATGGAATTGCAAGGTACGGGCGGCCCCCGCTGCAGATTCATGCGCCTGCGTTGCCAGGCAGCGCTGGCACCATTTTGGCCTGCAGAATGCCACTGACCAGCGTTTTGTAGGGGAACACCCCAAACAGGGGCGGACCCTCTCAAAAAATGGCGTGGGTCAAACATAGGGCAAAATCAAAATAGGCTGCCATGGCAAATGGAAACATGGACTAAACCTGCAGATCGATTCTTGGCGGTCTAATTTCCCATAGCGAAATAGCGCTGTCAAGCTGCTGCCGGTAGACGTTAAAGCAAGCCACAGGCTGCCGATCAGCTCCGATTGCTTGTCCACTTCAAACATCACCACCCAAAGGAAAGTCCCTTCTACCCTGACTCACTTCCTGAATGGATTGGCCAGAAAAAGTCCACACTTTTTGCTTGCCACTAAACTTGTCTTCCCAAGCTTTCGGCAGGTTAAGTGGAATTGTCGAAAATTTGTTTCCAAAAGCTCTAAAGGGTTCGAGCTTGCACCAAAGATCAGCCATAAAGATGGCAACCAACATGTGCTAAAAGTCACCCGTCCAAGATTTGACTTCGGAGCCTGAGACTCGGAGGTGCACAAAACGGCTGCAGCCAGGGCCCCAAGACATGGCAAAATCAACCTTCATGGGGGCAGCCGTGTTGCCATGGAAAACTCCAAAAAGGAGTCAACCCCCAAGACATGAGCATGGAAACGGCTGCAGCCCCCATATTCTGGGGGGACTCCTTTTCCATGCTCAACTAGCCTTCAATACAAAAGCCAGTCGATCCTTTCTGAGACTTGGCTGGGCTGCAGTCAGCTAGATATGCGTGGGCAGATTGCTCCAATCAACAAACAACATGAAAACTCCGAAGCAAGGAACTTCAAGGAACCTTCATCAATGTGTGCCGTCGTTCCCCCCGAATCGATGAGCTTGCAATGAATTGCGCGGACTGCTACGATTTTCCTACCTTCAGCGGGTGGAGGGGCAGGAGTCAGTCTCCAATTCTGCATTTGTTTCTAGTCTTCCGCACAAAAGGGCTAATGGAACTACTACAAATGAAACTCCAGGAATCGCCCCCCTCTCCCCAAGTTACTGCTTGAATTGGCCAAAACAAGCCTGAACGAATAGTTTGACAGTCTGACACTATATAAACCATGGTCTTCCAAAAATTGTTATGAAAATTCCTTTTTCTTTGTTCTTTCTTTTTTTTTGGGGGGGGGATATATACCCCCTGGAAGAAAAATGCATCCCCGTTTGTGGCGTCTTTGGATCCCCGCCCCTTTTTCGCGCCGTTTTGTTTGGTCAGAATTGGATCTCTCTTTTTTTGGAGCTAGCCTCCCACCTTTTTACATGGCACCTGACGATTGGCCCCAGTCCCTTTAAAAGAAAAAAATGCAAAACCAGGACCATTTCCCCGAACGTCGGGTTCCATGTTAATTAGTGGGAGCTATATATTTATGTTACAGGGCGGGCGAATTGTGAAGCATAAATAGTCTGAACAAATGATGTGTGGACTCCCCTGCAGACTGACATGGGCCCATCACAGCCTGCGCTGTTTGACAAAGGTCCGGGGACCCCTTCCAATTCCAAGGCTCCGGGAAAAAGAAGCAGCCAGAAGGCCTGCAGCGGGGGGTGCCGCTCAGCCGCCCGAGGCGTCAAAAGCTGGCCCTGGCAAAGGATCCCACCGGCGCGCTGTCCGATGCGAATTTTCATGGGTGTCTTGAAATTTTTAGGTCGGAAAAACAAAAAACAAACAACTTTTGGTGGGGTGTTGACTCACTTCCTGAGTGGATGACCTAGAAACAGTCCTGGGGACCCCCCCTTTTGGTTGGGTTTTAAAGGGGAACCAAAAGGTAAACTAACCACAAACCACATGACATGTTGTTTATTTTGCGCTTTTTTTTTCTCGGAGGGGGTTCCCCTCTTAGACACACCCACATGCTTCAACAACGGCGGTTTTGCTTTTGTCAGACTTGGCAGGCCCAACAAATTGTGGTTTTCCTTTTTGGGCTCCCTTTAAACCAACCTCGGCTCCCCATTTGGTGCTTTGCAGATTAGTGGGGGGGAACCTCAAAGAACCTCGGCCAGTCATGGGACCTTTTGCAGGTTCGTTCCACACGGTCGACGGGGCGGTTCTGTCACACAGAAAATACAAACAACTTCTACTCTAAAGCAACTACACGAGCTTTGTAAACGAGTTTTGTATGCATCTTTCAAGCAGGTGTCAAGATTGAGGACCCCATTTCGGGATTGAATCATAGCCAAATGTAATGATTCCACTTCCCACCAGAATGGGCCTTGATTTCTTGCGAGTGTCCGAGATTTGATCAAGCCACCGTGTCCAACATCTGCGTTCTCGGGGTTGCGGTGGTTTCCACGGAGAAGCTCGATCGGGGTAACTCCTTGAACACTCCTTTAGCTGCGTCGGAGTCACCGCCCACTGCGACAGGAAGGTCGTCCCGTGCTACGCGCTGGCAGTGCTTGCTTGCCCAATGATACTCGCCTGTCCACTTTAACATGGATCGTGGACTATGTTCCTTTGAAAGGGGCCCTCCGGTTCCATGGAGGGCACCCCTCGAAGAAGATCTTCCCCTTTTTTGGAAAATGGATTCGCAAGCAGTCCAGGAACGCACTAACCTTCCCGGCAAACCCACTCATTGTCATTGTCCCATGCTCTGTTTGGAAGTTCAACTTAAGAAAACCCGGCCATTAACTATTGCCCCAAACCAGTGGTTCCTGTTTGGGCGTTATTCTTTGAGCGGCCTGGGGCGCTTTTACCCCCCCTTCCACCAGATCTAATCGAAAGGCGAGTCTGGAGCCTGCCATAGGCCACTTTCACCTCGGGTTTGCGGTCCCCGTCCCCGACAAGCCACGAGCTGTGAACTTCAATTCGGGACCCAATGGACGTGGTTCCCAGGTAAGCACAATCTGAGGCCCATAGGGACCTCACCTGGGTGGATCGGCCAAAGAACACCGCAACCCGTGGTTTCCACCAAAATTTGTGTGTTTCCATCCAATCTGATGTGGGCCCACGCGCCGCCTCCGTGGGAGTTCGGGCCTGGAAAAGCAACTCCGGACCTCAGCTCAATTCCTCGGCCTGGGAAGTCACGGTGCTTTGAACTGGCCAAAGCTCCCAACTGGTGGTCTTCCCTTTTGTTGTCCAACTCTACCCCACCCGAAATTCGGGTACTCTCAAAGGCGCATCCACATCGGCCCCTGGCCCGCAGCCGCCGGCCTGCGCCGGAGGCGCGCCCGGGGAGCGCAGCTGCAGCCGAGAATCCTCGAGATTCGGAGTCGCGCTTCCGCTTTGGAGTGGCTTAGAATTGATGCTGCCCTGTTCAGTGAGGTGGGGTGAGACCTGGGGTGGGGTGAGGTGAGGGTGGGGTGAGGTGACTGAGGTATAAACGAAAGGGAAATGAGCAATTCCCAAACCCTTGTATCCAAAAGATCTTTGGAAGCCACGTTGCTTGGCCCATTAAGTTTCCTTCAGTGATGAACTTGCATGTTAGTCGAGCTCTGGACCAAACAACACTCAAACAAGCCTCCGAAGGAACACTATCAATGATTCAGATTGTGCTCTCACTTACTCAAAGGATCCGACAAACTTCACCCGCATTGTTAGCGACAAAGGGTGTCTTGGTTTGCAGCCCGACTGTCTATGAACCAAGCGAGCTGAACATTAAACCTGGGTGGGTCGAAATGACGGAATGCCCAATCATAATGCGCAACCCACAGCAAGGGAAACCACTACAGTAAGGGACACACAGTATTAATGTGGCACAAGGATTGAGGATTGTGTTGAACAATCCCCCAACACTTCCATTTGCTTCAGCCCCCTGGAACAATTTAAACATATATCCGGTAGTGATAGGTTCCCTTTAAAACCAGCAAGGCACAACAAGTATGGAAGAACCCCAGAATGAGATCCACTCAATTTCGGATTGGGACACGCTTCAGCTCTCATCTCACCAGCTTCGGATCCCTCACTCGCAGCTCTAATTTCAGGGTTTTTTTGGGGGAGGCAGGCCAAAAACTTGCTCTTATTTTTACAAGGATACCCCTGCCTCCCGAAAAAATCCCTGAAATTTTGATCTTCCAGGCACCCTCCCAGAAATGCGATGTTCGTGGAAGGAAGGGGAATCGTCCAAATCTTTGGGTTGGAGAGGGGCCCTGCAAAGTTGGGGAATCACTTAACCCACAAGCAATCGGCTTGGCAAAATCTGCAGGTTCCACCTTTATAGGTGTCCCTGCTTGGTAAGGAAGCCCCCCTCCAGAAAATCAAGGGGCACCACCGAGTGTACAAAATCCAACTACAAATCTCCGGCAACTTGTGAACGATTACAGGAGGTTCCCCTTGTGCCCCCCGGTCTGCACATAATCAATTCCACTGAAGTACGAATTGGGGACCCTGCTGTTCCAACCGCAAACTTGCTGTTCAACCTCCATTTTGTCTTTTGTTTTACGGGTCCCCAAAAAAACCGTTGGTCCAAAAACCGGTTGGTCCCCATGCAAGTTAGCTCCTCAAGGATCTAATTGGCCGTCGCTTTCCCCGCAACCTCGCGACTCGAAAGCTTGGCCCCAGGCCAAAGGAAAGCGGCCCATGGCCCGGTTGTCGCGATAGGCATGGGGCGCCTATCGCAAGGATTCGCCAACCATGTGGCCGCGGGCTTGGGGAAAATGTGATTTGTTGATCCCTTGCTGATGATAATGCTTTGTGGGATGTCTCCTTCCCTTCAAAAGCGTCTGTCTACAAAATCGCCAAGTACCCAATGAGTCTTGGGGGTTGTAGGGAATTGAAGCATCCCAGGCCCGGGCCCGTCTCCCGGCCCATTGAAGCAAACCATTTGGTATCGTTGCAAAAACGTCCAGGACTTGGAGCGCAAAAATGGACAAACTCGAAATACCGAAATCCCTGGAACTGCCGGAACTCTTGGGGCCGCTCTACTAAGACTCTAACGCCCCGCGCCCCCCAAGACCTGGAGGATCACAACCCGGGGGTCTTCAACTGTTTCTGGATTTGAAACAGATCTGTAGATGAGCGGTTTTTTCCCTCCACTCAACGGTCTGATTTTTTTACATCATGGGCAACTGGATCGGTGGCGAGGTGTATTGATTTTAAGGGATTCCCCCAAATTTATGCAAATTAAATTTTGGGGCCCCTGGGTTTAGGCGGGGGAGCTCTCAAAACATCTATATCTAGCCACAGGGGATGATCCCGTGACAACTCCTGGTCCTTGCGTATGTCCTGTTTTTGTCCTACATCGATAAATTATACATTAATGTTTCCCCAAAATAGCCGTATGGTTGGCTTCGGTTTGGATTTCCTCGAATACCAACAAAAAAGGGGTCCGAATCCCATTTTGAGAAACACTTAGGCCTTCCCGTTGCTGTGGCTCCGGGAATCGCTTGCTTGCATCCAGCGTCTTGCGTGCGAGTTCTGGACAAAGGCAACGGTTGTACGGAGGCCAACCCCCCAAAAAAACACAACTTGGATCGGCCGCACAGGAAATGAATGCCCAGAACTCCTTTGCGAGGAACGAGATTGGCAAATGCATACAGCCCAACAGCCGACCATTTCATGGAGTTCGGGCTCACCGATTCGGGAGTCAAACGAGCTCAAGCCATGATGTAGATCCGTAACCCGTTCGGGAATGCAACTCCTGTGTTGAGTTGCTGGATTCATAAAACATGTAGATCCACCAAAAAGTAACGCCCTGATATCTTCGCGGGCACCCTTGACAACGAAAACTCTACAAAGCATGTTCTTGCAACCTTCTTGTGTGATAATTCAGGAGATCGTCAAAGTCATCATGGTGGCGGGGGTCCCAAATTGGTGTATCCCAGCTAAAGCTCGTATTTGCAACCACGTGAGGGCTGCCAGAACCTGAAGATACGGGTTTATGTTGGGATGGTCCATATGCCAAGCGAAGTCCACAGAAACACGCAGGTCCAGCGTACGCGGAGGTGTGACTCCGGGACCCCCCAACCAACCCCAAAGGGCACAGGATGTCCCTCAGTTGCCCCCCTTGGGGACCTGGAACTAGAAGCCGATCACCTTTTGTGGCCATGACCTGGAACTATGGTTGCCAAAAGGGGAAAACCGTGTTGTGTCAAAAGGTCGATTCGCTTTGATCAAATGAGCACCTCCCAATTTCATGAGCTCGGTTCACCCGAGGCCGGTCATCAAAATTGTGCGAACTGCAAACCCAACCCAGGACCTGCAGGGATCCCCTTCGGCTTCTGCCCTACCAAGGGGAAGGCATTACGAAGTGAATCTCTAAGATGGGGCCTCTGTAAGGGGTCGTGATGCACACGTTCACCAAACAAAACCAAGTTTAAAGGTTTAATTTGCCAGCAAATAGCATTTAAAGAGCCTTTCTTGATCAATACTGGGCGTAGGTTTTGCCAAGAGTTAGACTCAAACTAGCAGGCGGAGTCATTGCTTAGGGGTTAAACAAGGAATGAGCTGCTTATCCTCTGCTGTCTGCGTTTGAGTTCTGTTTTGAACACAAGATCTGGGCCGGAAGCATCCAGCACAAGTTCGGGAGGATTTGTTTTCTTGGTTGCTGCAACGAGCCCCCCGCAAAAAGTGTTCAACTTGTTGGGGGGTTTAGTACGGAAAACCCAAATTGATTTCCCGAAAAGTTAAAGTCTAAAGATCCAACCCAATAGCAGTCAAGTTTTCCCGGCTGTCTTCTCATCCTTCCCCCAACCCCGGCCGAGGTCATGAGGAGGTCGGAGTCTGTCGCGAGCGGGCGCCTTGGACGATTCCGAGCCGCGGTGCTTACTGATTCCAACCGGGCAAACCAGATGCATTCAAAACCCTACGCGGGAGCATACTGTGGATGGACGAATTACTGCACCACCTGAAAAACCCAGGGGTGATGCTTCCCCTGTAAAGACCAACAAACAATGGTTTGCTATGGTTTCGAAGTGGTGCGAAATGGATTTCGTCCACCCGCAGTATGGCTGTCACGGTATGTCTGCATGATGTCTTGTTCCCTCACTACTGCCGTTGCATCCAGGGAGGCGATATCTCCAATGCCTTTTTTAGCTTCAAATGCGAAACCAGCGCAACACCACCATTTGAGCTGCCGTTTCTTCTTCTTAGGGGGATGCTTTCCTGAAATGTGCCAAGTGTCGTTTCTTGTTCTGAATTCCCCTTGAGGCAGTGCCTCCGAGAAACGAACGGCGGGAGGGGCCTTCAGCATGCTAAGCCATCCCTCTCCGTTCACTTGCAAGTCGATTGGATATGTGGATATGTCTCCAAACGGGAGAGGCTACAAAATGCGTGGTTTCCCGTATGTTTGTTGATTTCCCCCTAAACCAACCCCAAAAAGGGTTCCCTCAGAATTCGCCAAAATACACAAAAACACAGACACACGCACACACACACAGACACACACACACACAGACACACACACACACAGACACACACAGACACACACAGACACACACAGACGCACACACACACAGACACACACACACAGACACACACAGACACACACACACAGACACACACACAAACACACACAAACACACACACACACAGAGACACACACAGACGCACACACACACAGACACACACAGACACACACACACACACCCACACACCCACACACCCACACACACACACCCACACACACACACACACACGCACCCATGTAAGAAAACTCAATTGGACCTCGCTTTTGGACTCAACAGGAAGCCACACATCAAACCAACCCACCACCAAGGGTTCCCACCTTGGAAAGCCAACAGAGATGCCAAAGCGGCATCATCGGCTCGCGAGGGTAGGCAGGCATCTTCACGGAAGAGTAGATCGGACCTGCAGCGTATTCATCTTCAAAGGGTTAATTTCCTGTAGATTCTCCTGTAACCCAACCCTTTGACATCTGCATAACCAGAAATCAGCGGTCCCCGAATAAACGGCCTACATCATTGTAAGCTCCTTCTCAAGCTCGCCAGACAAGAGGCAGAAGCATGCGTTCGATGGGTGTCCCAGATTTGACCCCCTGGGCAGGGTTAGCCTGTCGCAAATTCGCGCTGCCGACCGGAATGTTGTTCTACAAAAGGGAAAAAACAACCCCCAGTGGCCACAAGAAAAACCACAACGGTGCTTCTTTTCGGTAGACAGTAAAGGGGACCGGCCTTCCAAAAACGGACGCAAAGGTTTAACATGAAACCAGTCAGTGACTTGAGACGAAAGCGGTAGCAACTGGACCTCAGTTGCCGTCGTTTTCATCCATAACCATTTTCGAGCAAAAAAAGCAAACCTTGGATGCTTCTTGGGGATACGGGTGCTTGGGATAGTGGGGGAAGGTCAAGGCTTCGCAGGGTCCATCGAAAATCCATTAGTTTCCAAAGGATCCAAGGAGAACAGATTCTGCAACTTCCTACCATCTCAAATTTGGATGGCCTTTTTGCTCCCTTCCAACCAATCTTCATTGGTAAACCAGAAGCAAGTATGGGGTGGGGGTCAAAAGGGACACCCCATGGCAAAAAGAACAAACAAACCAGCACTGGAGGTCTCTTCGATAGATTTGCAGGGGACATCCAGGACACTGCCGGAGTTAAAGTGGAAAGCCCACCAAACCCGCAAAATCGAAACCATGATCACACACTAGACAGAACACATGGCAAAGAAATGCATAAACATGCTGTGCACGTGTTCGAGTTGATTGCGAGACTTCACGCGCACTATGTGTTCTACACATGCGCCAACGTAAATGCAAACGCGCAATATATTAATTGGTGAATGACTACAAACAATTGCCTTGGGCACACGCGCGCGTGCACACACACACACACACATGCACTCCTACTAGCACAACCAGTCGCGGAATCACAACCCCCTTTCCATTGATCGCAAGAATGAGGGTATGCCTAACTCGACCTGACTGACAACTAGTGGGAAAAGCTTCTCATGGATGTTGCATGACATGGTTCTCGTGCTTTGACCGACCCCCTTGGTGTCAGCGAAACGTCTTCAAGGACATGATGCGTATCACTTTTGCACAACCTCTATCCATATCCGTGTCTATACATACTTTACAGTGATTCCGCTGTTGCTGGTAGTCTATCTCCACCTGTAAGCACTGTGGCCAAGGATCTTGAACACTTTCAAGGCAGGATCCATGGAAACGGGTCGGCCATAGTAATAGCCTGTTGCAATTGGAAGGTTTGCAGCAGTGATCAGCTTCCCAAAGAGGCACTCTCTGTGTTTGGGACCACCTTGAGCAATGCAAGCACTTTCCTGAAAAGCGGCAAGTCGGTCGGGGATCACAATCGGCTCCGAAGCCAACATGTCCTGAAACAGGAAATCGGCGATAGCGGTGAACAGCATACATACCGATGTGATGGCGTCTGATGCAGAGATCAAGTCACAATGATGCCTCTTTGCCCATGCATCGTACGGCACAGTGGGCAAAATGGCATTCATGCCTCGAAAAAGTTCAGCGAATTGAAAAAGCTGCTGGACACCCTGCGTGTCGTACAGGGATGTGCAAATTATCAGCAAAGAATGCCCTGGTTCTACCACTGCTTGCTGGCACGTCTGACCTTGCACTGTTTGCAACATGCTCTGAAGATTTTGCTTCACAATCTCCTGCATGTTTGACTTGCCAAGCTGCAACCACCCGCCACAGTCGCAATGTTTGGGCGGCGCACGGTTTTCCCAAAACTCTAGCCCACCACGCCAAATCGTTCCGAGACGCGTGCGGTCGTCGTCATCAACAGGGACGTGACCCTCAAATCCCTTGCTGCACGATGTGCAATAAAATGGGATGAATTCTCGACCATCGCCCAACCACATGTGTCGATGTGGCAGCGCATTCTCTCGCCAGGATGTCCACCACATGCAGCCGCCCTCGCTTGTTTCAGGCTGGTTTGCAAAGCCTTCGCTTGTCGAGCATGTCACCTGCTCGGTTGTGGAAAGCCTATAAGTGACGCTTTGGAGATGTTCTTGCCGACTGGTGTCTCCACCTTGGCTGAAACCGGTGTCAAAAGCGAAACAGGCAGAGACATCAAACATAACATCTAGCCACATACGATGCCAAGTGCTTGACACAAGAGCCATGAAGCCAAAACATGTAAGAACACAAACAGGATACACATATTAAATAGGTGGAGCGTTGTGCAACTGCCAGGGCACAAAAGGGACATCCGTGGCGGCAACAGCTGGGACAAAGCACAACTCGCCCAGGCCCTTGTCCACGGGGATCTGGACACTCACTGCCATGGATATAATAAAACTCCCCCAGCCTTCCGCAGTTGTGATAACAGTTTTCCAGGTCGCCTGCGGACCATGTGGAACTTTCTGACATCTGAAAAATACGATCAATGCTTCATCTTGCCCGAGCCAAATTGCTTCTTGCCCGTGGCTTGGTGGTTTTCCCTCAGCCCCCTTCGCACTGACGGCCGGTGAAAAATCCCAATCAATGAGCCATGGCAAGCTGTTGACTTAAAAAGTACAACTGGCATGGGACACTGTGGACGGACAAAATCCTCTTAGGCACCGCCGTTCAGAAACCCCGGAATGAGTCGATTCCCCTGTAAAAAACAAGAAACCATGGTTTCAACCATTGTTTCAAAGTGGTGCGAAATGGATTTTGTCCATCCACAGTATGTCGCATGTAAGTCAACTGACTCCTCTGGAGTATCCTGCATGGTGCCATGTTTGCAGTCGGATGCTATATGACTGGAGCACCTTCGTGCGATCATTAAGTCATGTCTGCCAAACATTCCCATGCGCCGGGCACAAGGACATCCAAATCGACCCCACAGAAAAACCCGCCGGCCGCCCCGCCGGCCGCTGGCCGGCCGATGCGCCCCGAAGCCGCCGGCCAGCGATAGATCCCCACCTTCTTCCTCCGGCATGGGCTCCAAGACCTGGCGGAAGCAACCGCCCCGTGGATTTTGCATGCCTGACCTGAGCCTCAAGCAAAATCCGGTAGTCATATGGTTGACCCAGAACCATGTACGGAAATAATAGGAAATACAAAGGCAATATATCCGCTGCTCTTTCTGGCGGGAGTGTTCCTTACTAATCTTCATCTACCTGAACGTGACGTTCCATGTGAAAAGGGTGGGAGCGTGAGGGCCAGACTCATTAGAATTTGGGCTTGGGGGAACCAAGTTTTTATGACATGGTGCTTTCCAAGTGGACAAGCGGGTGTTGAGAAACTAGGTCCTCCAGTAGAGAGGTTAGAGTAAGTTCTTCGTCTGTTTTCTGTAATCTATTTTAGTAGGGAACCCTCCGGCAAAAAAGGGCAAAGGGGGCACTACTGGGGGACCTAGAAAACAACTAGTATCGAAACATGACCCAAACGCCCACTTCCATGCTTTGCGGGTATCCGTTTATGGGTTGCTTTAAACAAGGTCGATCTTCCAACCGCTCCAAAGTGAGAAGATGTGGATCGCATCGCATGCGGCCGGGCGCCTTGTTCACGGGCTTCTCGGAAGACCTTGGGTCGAGGCGGTGCGTCTCAGGAAACCCTACCGATCAACACAGACCAGTCGACCGGTACCATGCATGTTGAACCACAGCAAAAAAAACGACACCCATGGCCCACCTGCGGAGGTGCGTTCAAAAGGAGCTCTTGTACTTGTTCGGGTGGTCCTTTGGATCTTTCTGGGATAAGAAAGGACACCCATGCTTCAGAGTTCCTCCTTTTGATGTCTTCTTGTTGCACCATCCAAAAGGATGTAGTTGCCAATTTGGAAGGACACCCATCAGATTGTCCCGGAGCAGAGCTTCGAGGGTTGTCTTGGCTTTGTCCTTCCGGACAAAGTGGTACAGTTGAGTCCCCAAAAAGGAGCTTCCAAGAAGGATGTTTGAGAAAGGTACAGCTATAGGTGACAGTAGATTTGCAATGTTTACCAAAAATCCAGAAGCTGAATGAAGGGATTCCCAAGGAAAGGACCTTCATCATGAGCTCGCTGTGAGCTTGCTATAATTCAAATAGGCAAGAGTAGAGGACCATTTTGCTTTCGTCATTCCCTTTGCCAGGGGAACTGTGCCATCCGCTTTCACCGTGCACGCTATGCTCCACGTTGCGATGATTTGAGATCGGAGTCAAGCCCCACCGATGGGAATCAGAAATGGTGCTGGGAATGGCAAATCGGGGGTCGGGCAAAAAAGACATGAGTCCCGTTCTGGTTTCCTTCGGCAGCTATGGGTGGTTTGGCGCCCAGGGCAGGAAATAGGCCTTATCCACTCCAGGGCTTGGTGCGAGCCTGGGGGAATGTGAAGAATCAATGTTGACAGCAATTCAAAACTCACAGGTCTTTTCGGGCATTCTCAAAGACATGGACAAAACCTCGCACCATCAATCGTGGACCAGTGGAAGATCTAGACAAACTCGTGGGTTCAACTTGCTTGCCCAATGGCTTCCAGCAAGCAAACCAAGCGTGCGTCTTTGTTTGGCTGACTCGTGCTGAGAAAAAATGTTGAGGGAACTGACGGTTCCTGAGATTCCAAAGTAGGATTCCCATGCAGGTGAGTACTTTGTCACATTAAAAGAGCTTTTGTCTTGGCACCGCAGAGCATCGCCCATAGACGCCATGTTTTCCACACTCTCCTCACTTCCTGGTTGGATTGGAGAAGAAGCGTGACTGCTTCGTCACTCGCTTCCTGAACGGATTGGCCGCCCGAAAAAGTGTGAACTTTCTGCTTGCCACTAAAATGGTCCAAACCCGAAAAGCACAGTGTCTCACTTGGCCAGTGACCAGCCCAAAAAAGGTGCACACTTTTTGGGCCACCACTGGTAATTAAAAAGGGAGAGCCACCAAGAAAAAAAGTGCAAAGTGTGTACACTCGCTGGGTGTCCAAAAACTCAAGGAGTGAAATCGTTGTGTTTTCAGCGGCTTCGACGCCCAACTCGCCGAATCCCGCCGAATCGGTGCCAAAACCGGGTGCCACCGGCAAGTCAGGGCTGAGAGACCCGGCCACTCATCCGGCTGCTTCCAGGGCCTGCAATCAGAGGGGCAGTTGGGGCACCATAGACTAGGTCCTCCAGTAGAGAGGTTAGAATAAGGGTACCCTTTTTTCTGTAGTTAGTAGGGGAACCCTTCCCCAAAAAAGGTCAAAAGGGCACTACTGGGGGACCTAGTTTCAAAGTCAACTTTGGTTATAACCTTGGGCAGGCCAAAATGTTCGTAAAATTATTCAGCCCCTTTTGGCACTTGGTGGCCCAAAGCAGCCACCGGCAAAGCTTGCTGGTCTGAGATTCGTTGCGTTGAGCACTTGACTCCGTCCGCCGTTTATGTCCGGGTCGGAGAGTTTTGGGCTCGAATGGCAAGCTCCATGTCCGAGCATCTGCTTTTCAGGCCCTCTGAATCAGCGAATGAAAGTGTTAAACCGGAGCGTTTAACTGGCCCAAATACATCCTTTAAGGGAGCCTGGTTGATCATGGGCCTCCAAAGAGAGCTAAGGGAACCAAGCCAAGGATAAGCTCCTTTTCAATCAGGCCTTATTCTGGGCTTAATTGGCGATAGTCCCCACAGACCCTTGAGGTCGATGAGATAAAATGCTTTAGGCTGCTTAGGTGCCCTAGTTCCATTCACCCCTAGCTTTCGGACCAATGGAACTTTCGAGGGCTCCGCCCCCCCCCAATGAGCTGCTGGGGCTGGTCAAAGGCGTTCCTAGGCAGCAAAGCTCGCATCATGCGTAAGTCCCTCCCACCGAGTTCTACTTCTCATGGGTGAAGCCTGCCGGGTCACATGCGTAACGCTGTACAACAAAGACAAAAAGCGACAGGCTTGCTGCGGCCCTCTGCGGCCTCCACCCCTTCAACCTAGGAGCCTCAATGACTCAATGGAATCGCCGGGAACAAGCTCAACTGTTTTGAAAGGAAAAGGCTGCGGTCTCCCAAACGCCGCAGGAATCCAGCGAAATGCGTTAAGCCCCTTGCAGAAAAAAAACAGTATATCATGTGACAACAAAATACAAATAGGTGTCAGCAAAGTTGATTCTTTGCCCCCGGAACACTTGAAAGAATAAAAAAGCCATCAATTAAACCCGCAAACACAGCAAAAGCAACTGGTGGTCCGTTTCTATTGGCTTTCGTTGGTGTTCGCATGGCCTAGTTGGCGTGGCCTAGGCCTAGGTGTTAAACACTGTCGCTGGTGAGAAACATAAGCAATTGTCCCACCCCTTTTTGCAGCGCGGCCCTATTTTCCTTCTTTCCTTTAAGGTCAGATGGCTTCAGTCAAAGTGCAACATGTCTGCACCCCCTGAGCGACGAAAAGGTCGGCAGCCCCTTTGAGGAGCTACCGTTGTAGAGCCTTGTGACCCTTTCGGCCACTGAGCTCAAAATTCATCCGGCCGATGTGGCCCTTGATTGTTGCTGCCGGCTGCCAGGTCCGCCTCATTCTCTTTTCCATCCACCTTCACCACCGTGACCTCCTTGGCAAAGACCTTGTCTTGCCAGAGGTACCTCGCCTGGATGTGGCGCGTCTTGCCCACACCCTTCCTAAGGCTCATCACCCGAGCCGCCGTGCTGTCCACCTTCAGCATGACTCTCGCCACCGCGTAGTCCCAGAAGTTGATGACCCCGCGGATGAACTCCGCGTGCGTCGTCGTCCTGCACATGCCGTAGAACTCACTCTCGGCAGAGCTCAACGCCACCACCTTCTGCCCCGCGGCTCTGATCAGCACCGTGTGGTGCCCAATCTTCACCACCGACCCCGTGGTGCTCCTTCTCGTCCTCAGGTCTCCGGCCCAATCCGAATCGGACCAAGCCAGCACGTCCAACTTTTTCAGGCCTCTCCTCCAAAAAGGTCCGCTTCATGTACGGGTACTTCAGCAGGTACCGCACCACCTTCTTGAGCCGAAGCCAATCACCCATCTTCGGGTTCTTCATGGCCGACGCCAACGTCCTCGAGGCGTGAATCACATCCGGCCTGTCCTGGCTCAGATAGGCCAGCCTCATAGTCATAGACCTGAACTCACCGGTCTGGGCCTCGTCCAACGCTTCGGAGCGCTCTTCAACAATGATGTCCTGGTCCCGAATCTTATCCTCCGGGATGTCGCTGCCCTTGGTCTTGGAGTCGAACCCAAACGACCTCATCAGGATCTCCGCGTGCCGCGCATCCGCTTCTACCTCCAAGCGTTTTCCATCCGTTCCATCTGCCACGTACCTGATGAGCCGGTTGAGAAAGAACATCTCCTTGCCGTCCAGCTCCCCATCTCCGACCGTTGCCTCCCACCGGGCCGTGTACTTGCTGTTGAGGACGCCATCCATCCAGGTCAGCTGATCGTCCTCCGCCAGCACCAGAAAGTCGTCCCCATGCACCAGCCCGATGATGCCTCTCTCCTGAAACTTGAACAGTGCCGGGCACAGCTTGCTGAACTCGCCCTTCTCCTTCTCCATGAGGCCTTGGTAGTCCATCTGGAAGATCTTGCTCGCATCCTGCGTGCCATACATGCTCCGCAGGAGTCTCCCTACCATCGCCTCCTGATCCTCCGGGTGCACCAGGTCTTCCTGCGGGAGTTCCACAAACAGTTCCCGTTCCGCCTTGCCCATGAAGTGCGCCTGGGAGATGTCCCACACCGCCAGCTTCCGCTTCTTCTTGATGCCTTTGATGCCTTTCTGCGACATGAACAGGCTCAGGATCATCATGACGCATTCCACAGGCGGTGTTGCTGCAAAGGTGTCTTCTGCGCCCAGCTGTTGGTCTGGCCGCTTCGCCCTCTTGATCTCCTTCGTCACCAGCCGACTCCTCACCTTCGGATTCTCTTCATCCCCTTTATTCACATCCAGCCACTTCAGTTGAAGTGGCTTCCTCTGCGCGCTCTGCTCGCAGAGCTTCCTCGGAACTCTTTCGTAGACCGCCTCCTTGCGAAGCCAGTCCAATTCCTCCGCTCTCGCCTTTCTCACAAGCTCGGCTGGCAGGACCGTCCCCGACGAGTCATCCATGAACAACTCGTCCAGCTCCTGGTTTTCCTTCTCCTGATCCACCCACTCGTCCGGCGAGGCTCCCGTCAGCATCTCCTCCACGCTGTTGATCTGTCCTCGTTTCCTCATTTCACTCCGCAGGCCTCTCAGGATGGCCTCCACCAGCTCCACCGGGTAGACCTGGGCTGCCTTCGCTCGATCCTTGCCGATGAGGTGAACATGCTGATGAACTTCTCGCCCTTGTAGCACGTTCTCGCACACACCCCTCAGCTCCTCCGCAATGCATTCGCTGTTGGTCAGCCACGCGTCTCCTTTCTCACATGCAACTCTTCTCCATGGTCGTTCCTCATCTTCATGCCAAATCGGCACATGGGGCTCTGCACCAGGAAAGAACCTTCTTTTTCCACCATCTCTTTCACCTCCGGTTCCTCCCAACTAGATGCTCCCCTCGGGTGCTCATGCAGCAAAACTCCTCCCTGCTCAGCCTGCTGTTTGCAGCACTTCATAGCTTTCTGCAGCCTCTCTCTCCCTAGCCTCTCTTCTTCGGCAACCACGTCTGCGTCCCTCTTCGGGTTCGTGATCCTCCGCAATGGGCTAAAAGTTGTGCAGGGGGGAGAGCTCGTTAGCAGCAGCGGTTTCTCCTCCTTGATCATGTTGCAGACCTTCACGAAGTCCGCCTCCTGATCCATGTCCCATCTCGCCGTCCCACACGGCTTCATCTCATCCAGATCCACCGCCACTCCATCTCTCAATCCGAACCGCTGTAGTTCCAGCGTCACTCTCTTGGGTGAGAAAATCTCCACCACATCCAATGCCCCGATGTCCGCAACCAACTCCGCTGCACCGCGGCTGCCAACCTCCTCTGCCAGCATGTTGATTGCTGCGTCTCTCACTGCGCCGCCAGGGCCCACATCTTCCTCCTCTACTTCTTTGAGCAAATCCTCAATGTCCACGGATCCGCCCTTCCTCTTTGGCGAGGTCTGCCCGTCTCTACTCGAACCAGGCTCCTCCAACGCCACGGGCTGTTCCCGCTCGCCACTTGCCTCCTTAGATGCGGCCCTCTTCTGTGACCTCCTCTTCTCTTCTGCCTCATCTTCTAGGCGTTGCTTCCTTCTCTTCTCTTGGTCCGCAGCGTCGTCGTCCTTGATCCTCTTCAGGATCCTCAACCGGCACTCTTCTGAATGCCCAACTTGCTGAGTGCCTCCTATGATGGATATGCACCCGCCACACCCAGGCGTCTTCCCACACTTGTTCAACATCTCCCTTCTCACAGGCCAGGCCTTACCTCTTCCTGGCGTGCCTGGGGCTGGGGCCTCCTCTCCTGCTGCGGCGGGTCGTGATTCTGGAGACTGCTCTAGGTCCTCCTCCGCCCGAGCTGCCCGCACCTCTCCTCCAGGTCTGGGACTACCCCCAATGATCACGACCGGCGGGGCTGGCAGCTGCTCTTGCTGCGGCTTCGGCTGCGGCTCCAGCTCGACGTACTTCTTCACGTCCCAGGGGACTCCTCTCATCCCTTCTTCTATCTTACCCCACTTCTCTTCTGCAGGTAGGGCATGATGTCCAGTGCCTACGATGACCCCCTGATCGGTCATTGCCAGCACCGATCCAAACCTGTTGTGCGTCCCCAAGTACCGACCCGCCTTCATCTTCTCCAGGTCTCCTCGCCGCCCTTTTCCAGCTGGCTTGACCAAGATCTTCTCACCGAAGCACCCACTTCTTTCCGGTCCTCCTCTCGTCCGGGGTCCTTCCGTCCTTGCCGATCTTGAATCGATTGATCTGCTCGGCCGCGTACCTGGGTGCCCAGTACGTCAGCGGATGCCCCTGAGGTACTCCACCCTCAAACTTCTTGGCCAGCGTGAGAAGGATGGCCCTGATTCTCCACTTGACCTCCTTGACGGCCACCTCTGCTTGCCCATTGGCCCTTGCATCACCTTGCGGCGATTCTTCCGGCACCGCTCTGGAAACTCCTCGTGCCTGCTTTGCCACCTCCATCTTCATCTTCACCAGCGATCTCTCTCCATCCGACTTCAGGACCACCTCCCTGTAGCCCAGTATCTCCAGGAACCTCGTCAACGCCTTCTGCGCCGTCAGGTCCACCACTCCTTTCTGGTTGATCGCTGTGGCCATCACCATGCCCGTGTCTCGGTCGACCGCCACCAGGTTCGGCTTGGCTCCTTCCTCCTCGCTCATGTAGAAGTAGTCCAAGCACACCGTAGGCAGCCGATCTTCTCGATGATCCACTCTCCGATGGGCTTGGACTACTCCTCTTGCTTTGATACATTCTTCGCACCAGCTCCTGTAGACCGCGTGCCCGGTCGCCTCATGCTCCTTTCTCTCACGAGCAGACGGATTGGCTGGACTCCAGCCTGGATTCACCGCTCTGGCTTCCGCCGGCTCCTCAACAACTTCTCCAGCGTCACCTCCTCCAGGTCTGACCGGAGCCTCGTCCTCCAACGCCCATACCGTCTCGCTCTTCTTCTTCCAACCATACTCCTTCCACCATGGTGGGATGTCATCGTCATCCTCCTCATTTCTGTCCTCCTCCTTTGCCATGGCTTTAGGTCTGGCTCCCAAGCCTGATGCTGCCGGCACGGGATGCGGCCTCCGGTGACGAAGGCTCCATCATGGCTACGTCCACCATCTCCGCCACTTCCTCCTTTTCTTCCAACCAGGTAGAAGTTATAGATCCCGTTTTCCTCCACCAAGGGGATCAGCCCCTTGTCATGCTCCTTGAGGGCCCACTCCATCAACTCCTCCATCTGCTCATGGACCGGGTGCGTCTTCGGGATGATCGTTCCACCTCCGGAGGTCATCCAGGTGCTGTACCCCTTTTGGTGTAGCCGACCTGCGCTGATCAGCACCTTGTGGACATCCGTGGCCTGCCCGTTCAGCACCCTTTTGACTCCTCCTGCATCGTACCCCGAGGCTCATAGTTCTTGATCAACTCCCCCGAGGCTGTCTTGAAGTAGTTCTCCCTCTCCAACAGCTTCTCGCTGTACCTCTTGGGAAAGGCCGTGGCCGAGGCACCCGTGTCCAGATTGCACTTGAGCCACTTCTGGCTGATCCCAGCCGCCTCTCTCTTGGCCCTCATGTTCCTGGCGAGTGGAGACACCGCCCATGGTCGTGCCGTAGAGCTCGTGTTGGACAATGCACACAGCTCCAGGCCATTCGCCTCTCCTTCTGGCTCTCTTTCAGGGCTGCGGCATCTTTCTTCTTCCCTTTCTGCTTTCCTTTGGACTTTCCTCCAGCAGCTCCTCCACCAGCCGCCCAGCAGTCCTTCTTCATGTGGCCGGTCCGTCCGCAGTTGTTGCATTTGCCTTCGAACTTCTTGTTCTGGTTGGGCCCCATCGGACGTGTTGAAGCCCCCTTTCCTCGGCCCATGCTCTGCGGCTTCGACCAGCAGTCTTTCTTCTTGTGCCCCACCTTGCCGCAGTTGTCGCACTTGCCCTCGAAGCGTTGAGCCTTTCCGGCGCCTTTGCCCTTGCCCTTCACCAGCGACGACAGGCTTCCTGACACAGCCTTGACCAATGAATCCACGTCCATGGGCACCGCCTCGTTCGCTGCGACTTTGCTGAAATTGCCCGACACCGTCATCTTGCTCCCCGTCTTGGCCTCCATGAACGTGACCACCTCCGCCTCCATCTCCTCGAAGGTCTTGAAGCGGCTGTGGTTGAGCAGGAGGTGCGTCTCCAGCTCCCGAGGAACTATTTTCTAATGCATTCATAGCGAGGCTGTCGGGCAGGTCCTCGCGCCTCCCGAATTGGTCTTTCTTTTTGTTGTAGCGGCCTCCCAAACACTTCCATCTTTCCAGGGCGTTGCTCAACGAGTCGTACCCCGCTGTGTCGGGGTTCGTGAGGGCTTGGAGCATGATCCTCTTCCGGCCTCCCGTGGCCGGATCATACTTCTTGTGGAGCATTCTCCAGGCCTCCAGCCCATTGCCCTGAGGGGCGTTCTCCACCAGGTCGAAGACCACGCCCTCTGTCGTGGCTCTCAGCACGGTGTAGAGCTGCTCATTGAACTCCATCACCTCATCCCATTGATCTATGAGATCAGCATGTCGATCTCCTCGGCCACGATGTTGCCCTCAGAGCCTGCCGCCCACTCCAGGACCTCCCGGCTCTTGCCGCTGAAGACCCCCGTGACATAGTCCTCCAGCTTCGATGCCCATACCCGGAACTTCTCCGTCCTCCCCCAGCGTGTGGGGTTTCCCCAACCCTCTCTGGTCCACCAGGCCTCCACGCTCCTTCTTGCCGAGCTTTGCCAGGGCATCCGGCAAGCTCTGCAGCGCCCTCAGAACCTCCGTCTCCATGCCTCCTGAGCCGCTGGCTATGCCCTGCTCAGTGACCTGCAACCGCGCCTGCAGCTGTGCATTCTCCTGCTGGACCTGGACCAGCTGCTGTTGCACCTGCTGCAAGGCTCTCATCACCTCCTCCGCCGAGGCCATCGACGCAGCCGATGATCACCAGGTGCAGGTCCACGCTGTAGGCCAGCACCAGGACCACCGCGGTGATCCACCTCCTCCAGCGGCCTCCAGCCGCTCGGCCACCCAAGACCAGGGCCCTGCCACCAGCCTGCCGGCCTTTCTCCTCCGGCTCACCCCGGCCCGACGCAGGCTGACGGTCTCGCCTCTGGCCGATGACCCGGCGTCTGCCCCTGGACTTGTCCAAGGGCTCCGCTACCATGCAGCGCGGCCCTATTGTCCTTCTTTCCTTTAAGGTCAGATGGCTTCAGTCAAAGTGCAACATGTCTGCACTTTTGGTTTCTTGTCCCCACCCCCGGGCTCTATTGAAACTCAGACTATCTTGCAGACCCCCCCCCCCTCTCCCCCCACCAAAAACAGAAACATCTCCCCCCACGAGAAAAAACAAAAACAACAACCTACAAGTATAGGCTACATCGCTGCCATGTTCCGCCCACCCCTGTCCACCTTGGGAAAAACAGGTCGGAGACGTGCCTGTTTTCCCGCGCAGGGCTACCTCGGACGGCAGCCCAAGGTCCAGACGCTTCGAAGCAACTTCGTCTAACCCGGACCTGGCCACCATTCACACCTCCATCGACTTGGGGCTTAAGACACGGTGGGCAAAGGCATGGGGTGTGCACCTGTTGAACCTGTGTAAAAAAAAAAAAAAAACATCACACACACACGCACACTCCGTCCAGAAAACTGTTGTTGCTCACTCGCAAAGCCTGGCAATGAAGGGCTGGGCTGTTAGGAGCTTGGCACAAGGAAGATGGGCCAAACATGGACGGTTGTTCCTTGTCCGGAAGCTCCAATAATGGAGGTTGTTCATTGGAAGGCGTGTTGTTTCCCTCAAAACGGTCCCTGAGACCCCACGATGCTGAAGGGCCCAAAACCCCATGGCCGCTGGAACCCTGGCGTTCGATTGGTGGTAGCCTGACACTGCCGATGCTTCCGAAAGCGAGGGCAAAGAAAGCTTTTGAGCCGCCTCCCTGTTTGGCCAAACCGAAATGGTGTTTTTTGTTGCCGGGTCGGTCCATTGTGACAACATTGTGTTTTCTCTCGAAATGGTGGGTTAAACAATAGAAACCTCCCCTGAAAATGCTTCTTCTTCTTTTTTGGCTGGGAATCCTAAAAATGGTCATTTTACTTGGTTTTTCAATATGAGGGATCCTGACTTCCAAGCCGCCAAAATCGTCATGAGAATTGACTTGCAACAACCCATTCAACAGGGCTCCTTGAAGGATACATCCAAAAAGCAACTCCTTTACAAGGGGATCCTTTACATCAGATAGTAAGAGTGTAAAGCAGATCTCGGTTGCATTCTGCTCCCCTGCTAAAAGTTCAACTTTCAGTGGTTTAATACGGAAAACCAATTAGTTGGCAAAAAGTTGAAGTCCTCACATCCGTGGGCAAAATGCGCCAAAGAGATGACCAGGGACCCTGCTTAAGGAACCTGGATTCTTGGGCGCTGAGCTGGGGCGAGAAAACTGAGCTGGGCGCCGAATCCTCGCTCTACCTCCCAGGTCGGCCTTGGGCGGAAAATCTCTGAGGAACGTCGAGCAGGTGAAACCGAACGGAGCTCCGTCGGGTTTTTGCGCCTTAATGTTGACCCCGTACTAATCAACCCCAGCTTGTTCATAGGTGGGTGTTGCTGGGTTTAGTGGGGATTCATCACTTTTGGAGGAGAACACCCCCCTATGAACAAACTGGGGTTGATTCATGTGGGGTCAACATGACAATTGTTGCAATCATTCCAAAGCCTGATATGTGAGTAAACGACCTTCTAGAGCTCGTTTTATCCAGGCGAGCTTGCTAGAAAATACGCAAAGTTATGATTGCCCGCCAATCTCAATTGAGAAATTCCTAAGGTTGGGAGGGACAACACATGCGGCCCTGAGACTATAAGTAAACAAAGGGAACCAATCATTTACCTGCAGAATTACAACTAATAAGCCAGCAAGGAATCCCTAAGCGCCCTCATCATGGTCAGAGTGTTTTACACTGGTTTGCTCAGCTCGCTTTAAGTGGTGCATCTTTCTAATTTCCGTTTGAGTGACAGAAAGAACATTTCCAGTGGCTTGAGGTGCAAGTGGAGAAACAAACGCTACATGTTTCACCCATGACACGTTTCACGCACAGTCAGCGCGGAAGATGCCTCTAAACATACGGACCGCAAAGTAGCAAACCCCAAAAACCATTGGATGCTTTTGGTCGCCCCAACTTTAGCAATCATTTAAGTGGCTTCTGACGGGCGCCGATCGGACCCTGTCAAAAGAGACAGTGGATACTTCGAAGTTGGGGGCAGCCCTGTTCAGAATGCAATTTTTGCTTGGGGTTTACTTCGAGCTTGTTCAGGGTGTCCTGAGGGTTGGTTTAGGCTGGGTCGGGGGTTGGCTCAGGGTTTGGTTTAGGGCTGGTTTGGGGCTGGTGGATATAGAGTCGGAGAATCCCTCGCCGAACCGAGGAGAAAGAAAGGAAAAACAGGGTCCGTCCCCGTCACAATTAGAACAAGAAGGCTACCATCTACAAACAATGTTATTTGAGGATCAATTCCCAGGACTAATAACTAGTTTGTGGTGTTTTGTTAGAATGAGGGACGTGCCTGCGGCAAAACCACTCAAATGACCAGACAGTGTTCCACTTACAAGGGACCAACGTAAACGTGGATCCTGTACACAAACATGGAACTTTTCCTTTAAAAGGAACCATCTGGCTGATTCTTAGGCCGCGGCAACCTGACAGAGGGGTCCTGGTTTGGACGATTCTCCTTTAGAAAGAACCATTTGGCCGCGGCTCAACAAAAAAAAAAAAAAAAAACGAATTTACGCAGGCTTTGGTCCGTTCTTTCCCTCTGCCAACAGGGCCATTTCGGGGATTCCAATGTCTTTGAGCCACCATCTAATTCCATCGGCAGCCTGGCGGATTCCATAGGCCGCGGCATGCCCGAGGCGATGGTCTTCCGCGCCGGCCGGGTCAGCTGGCGCTGGGGCGACCTGGAGCTAACGCGCCAGCCCCTGAGCTGGGCGTGCCGTGTGCCCCCAAAAACCTGGTGAGGGGTTTGCGCAAACCCCCCGAGCTGGGGGTCTTAAAACGGGAATTACCCCAAAAACACGGCGACCTACCTCTTGGTTTCCCTTGAAAGCCAAACAAAGGAAGGGGGTACTTTCACAAAAAGACAAACCCAACATATTTCGCGTCGATTCAAAGCATCCCACAAATCGTTGGTTTCCTTGTTGTTTCCCTTAGGAAGCCTCTCGCTGAAAGGAAGCACACTTTGAATTGGCCCAAGAGGCGATGCTTAAAATCAGCAAAGGGGAAATTCTGGGGGACAGGGACCCGGAGAGGACAGACATGGTTTTCACTGCCACAAATTACGACCTCCAGGGGTTTACCGGGATATACCCATACCCTGATCTTACTTCTTGAGTGGATTGGCCAGAAAAAGTCTGAAACTTTTTTGTCTGCCACGAAAACGGTCCAAACCCAAAAAGTGGCTACAGTCCAGGAATCAGGAAGTGAGTGCTTCTTTTTCTTGGGGCGGTGGGGGGGAGGAGGTGGGTGGGTAGTAAAAACTCCGTTGGACTGGAGAGAGACTTCCCAGCGACTTGTTAGGAACACTCGTATGTGTGTTTTGTCCAGCTGAGAGTGCACCAGCTTTGTAAGCAGTCAGCACACCCTCCTTCTCTGCAAGAAACGTCATTGGGGAGAACCACAAGAAGCACAGCGCTGAAGCAGGCAGGGCGTCTTCATCCACAATGCCCATTGACAAACCACCACGCACGCCGACCGAGCCCTCCACTTCATTAAGGGATACAGCTTTGAGTAGCTCAGCCAAGCATGCCAAGCAAAGTTGGCATCGGATTCCAAGCGACAGCACTCCCGCTGCTTTCCACTAAGTAAGACCCTCCCTCTAAATGGTGGTTTGGAGCGGTGGAGATTCGAAAAGAGCTTCCCATTTACCCTCTACAAGATTCAGGGAATCTTAACCCGAATCCAAGCCACCAGTAGGCCTTCAGGTGGCCATGGATCAAAATCCGAATCGCACCCCCAGTGAACATCCCAATCTCCACTACCAATAGGTTCTAAAATGGGTGGTGAATGCACCTACCAACCAAAATGGGATCCCATTGGCTTTGACAACCACAACCAGGTCTTTTCTTCAGAAAATTGGGGAGGAGGTGGGAATTGGCGCTCTGAGCCCCCTGCGCCAGCTTGGCAATCTGCACACGCGCGGCCTCGTTACGATTGTTTTTTCCCGAGCCAAATGCACGAAACAAGGGTCGAGCAAAGGCATCTAAGAGGCATCCAACCAAAACCAACCCACCCACCCAACCGAAACAAAAATGCGGTCCAAAAGCAGTCGGGATTCAACTAGAAGGCAACCCAAACTAAGAATGACATAATATATGAACAGATCATGGTTCCTATTGGCAACCCTTACCATGTAACATGAGTGTCAAAAATGGTTCCAAACAAGCTCAGCCAAAAAAATAAAGAGAAATACCTCGACATGGACATTTCAAGCTCCAACCCCAAGGCTACAAATGTAGCTGGAATGGCTGGCACCATCGCAATCTTATCAGTCAAATACCCCGCCCGTATTTGAAGCCCCGGGTATTTGAAGCCGTCAGTCCCAGGCTCCTGCGCCATTCTATTGGAGGCTGACGGCTTTCCTGACTCCCAGTTCGCTTCTGGGAAAACCCATTCTAGGGGCTACCTGATAGAGATGCAGGGGTTGATGCCGTGCCCATTCTTTTCAACCATTGTCTCAAAAACCGATCGCCCTTTCCACCAGGTTTCCGAAGGATCCCTGGAAAGAATGGGGAAGCGGGAAGCTTCCCCTGGAGGAATGTCATCTGGCGCCCCTATTAAAAAACAATTGGGAAGGGCTGATAGCCACCATGCGAAAAAATCAAGAACTCTTTGACCGTTTTGTTGGTTGTTCATGTTTTGTAGGGAACTGGCTGGAACATAAAGACACGGTCCAATCGGCAGGAAAACCGCAAGTGCAGGTTGCTGTTCTGGGGTTATACCCGCCTGCTGCCCCAAATTTGATCGATTTTCAGGAAAATGATCGCGTTGCCTTCTTGGTGTTGAAATTTCAACACTGGTGCTACAACAAACCGTTCGGGCTTGCGGACCAGACAGAACCTTATGTTGCTGATGTCGCTTGCTGGGAATCCATCGATTGCGTTATTTTTGCATAATCCGTTGCATGTTTACGTTCTTTTTGCGTCATGACATGGGCCGCGCCTAGGATTTGGTGTTGGAAAATACCTCTCGTAAAGCGTTCAAAACCCGTTCAAAACACGTTTGCAAACCGTTCGCGAACCGTTCGCATGTCGTACATTTTACGTACAACTAAAAATGCGTGTTGCGAAATCACCTTGGTGTTCTAAAAGCCGTTCTGGTGCTAATAAAACAGATCTGGTGCTCAAATTTTCGGGAACAAAACATGAAACAGAACATCTTAGGGGCCTCAGGTGAGAACTACCAGCACTGGGGGCATAAACCGAGTAAGGCGTGATGCAAACTTGGGGGCGACAGGCCACCTTTGCAAATGCACCGCAGGTCCCCTAGTTCTAAAAACAACCCATATTCGCATCCAAGGCGTGGGACCGAACAAATACTGTTCGTCAAAAACCTTTCAGCAGCGCCTGCAGCTTCTCAGAGAGGTCATCCTGACGGACCAAGGCCAAGTTGGGTCAGAGCTTTTCGTTTGGAGAACCATAGGGGAACTTCGTAAACGAACATGTGCGACCGTTTCAGGGCTCGCTACGTTCTTAGTTGCAAGTTCTTTTGCCAAATGAAAAAAGGCACCTTATGGGAACCTTTTGTTGGTTGGCTTCAACTGGAACGTATTTCTACTGGACACCTGGGAAACACTTTACCCTCCCAACAACAAATTGGTGCACAGTGCACACCCACCCCCCTTTCCAACAATAGCCCTGGAACCCGCCTTTTGAACCCTCCCTGAAAGCTGCACCAAACCACCCCTGGAGGAATCGCGAAGGCACCATCGAAGGCACTCACAAACTTGGGGGAAGTGTACTTCGCTATTGAAGCCCCCTGCGCAAGCAATGGTACTCTGTGTTGGAAATGTGGGGAAGTAACACATTTCCCCCAAAAGATAAAGGAAATAGGTCGAAGATGCCAACAAACAGCCGAGTTAAGCCAAAGAGACTCAACTCAGGGCCACCCATTTGGGGGACGACACCCAAGTAGGCACGTCCTCCGTGGATTTCGTGGATGAAACCGTGTGATTTGTACCAAGGGTACCTGCACCAAAAAGAGCGGGAGAAGTCCGGAGATCATCCCTGGTTCACTTTGGCGATGGATGGACCTCTTTGGTGTCGGCCACGTTGGCCAAATGCTCATCCACCAGTTTCAAGGAAGGATCTGTTCCCCCTCCGTGTCTGAGCCGACATGGAAAGAGGTCCATCTCAGAAACCGTCGCCAGGGTTGCCACGTGGCTCCCATTTTGGAAAAACAAGGGACGCCCAAACAAAGCAAAGGTTCCTACACTTAGCTTCCCTCTAAATTGGTGGTTTGGATTGCTTGGTTTAGTGATTCGGGGTGGTTTCCCATGTGCCCTGTACAACCAGGGGCTCAAATCCTCAAACCACCAATCCAAAGCTGAACGCAGGAACAAGATTTCTTGAAGGATACATTCAACACCACTTGATGTGAATCAGCTTGCAAAGGTGTTCCTCGAGCGGGGGGTCTTAATTGATCCATGGTGCTTGGAAACAAAAAGAAGCCAACGTGTAGGGGATAACCCGCCCCCGCCTTTCTTGCACGGCTCTTGCAGAGTGGCGAGAAAAACAAAACCGCCCGGATCAATACCTACAAAACAAACATCAAACAGGACATTTTAAAGGGCCGATCGGGTACTTAGGAAGTGGTTAACGAGCCTTGCTTATAGCCCACTTAAGCCATGGTTATGAGTCTCCGTTCAGTGGGTTACCAGGCCTACAAACCGCTTACCTGACGTACCCTGCCCCGTCAAGTAACAACCCCCTGGTCCACCAATAGGGGAGTGGTCCATTTTAGAAAAAGCCCGAAAACACACGACTAGTCCACTATTGGCCTCAATTTGCTCAAGTGGAAAAAGACTATGTCCAATAGGGATAGATTTTTTTCACACCAAGAGGGAAAAAAAAAAAAAACATCTTCATTTCAGACAATGGAAGTTGGTTTATTTCTCCCCCTCCGTCCTTGGGTGAGCTCCACTTGGCGGAGACCTTGTCAGCCAGCCGCGTCTTCCGCTCCGGCGACCTCGGAAAGGCATCGGGAAGCTCATGGCATGGGTCGTGGGCCCCTACGAGCCGGCAGACAGCATGGACTCCACGGGCCCAAGCATGGGGCCTGCGTTTTTGTAGGGCTCCTGGTTCTGAGTCGCATATCAAAACCTGGTACTAAAATGGTCTAGAACCATGTGCAGGATTAAGGCGGATATCCGCAGCTATTTATGGTTGGGATTGTCCCCTAACCTTCATCTACCCGAATCGGTTTTGAGCAAGTGGCTCAGGTTGGTTTCAAGGGACACCGAAAAAAAAGAGAGCCCCCTTTGGGGGTCCAAAACCTATGGGTTACGACTAGCCCGGCGCTTGGAAAACCAGGCCCCCCTGCAAAAAGTTTCACTTGTGGGTTTAGTGGGGAGCCCCTTGGTTTCTCAAAAAGTTAAAGTCTATTGGTCCAACGCAACAGCAGTCAAGACATGGCGCTTTGGAAACCGAATGTATCAGAGCATTCCCTACTTGAAGGGGCGATCGATGCAGGGTACGTCAGGTAAGTGGTGAGAGTAAGCCTGGTATCCTACGGAACGGAGACTTATAACCATGGCTTTTGTTGGCTATTTCACCAGGCTTACTAACCACTTCCCTGATGTACAATGCCCCTAGTAGATGTTCCCCCTAAAACATCACCCCCAAAGGAAACTCCTCAAGTGGCGATCCGGCTGGAAAAAAGGTCTACATAGGGACTCCCGTGCTAAATGAGGGGTCCGGGGAAAAAAAGTCATCTCAGTAGCTTCCTGGAGAAGACACCTATTAAAACATCTGGTCTCAGGGGGGTATCTTTCACCAAAGCGACATTGAGGATGATTCGCCAGTTGGGCTGCCTTGAGATTACAACATAAAAGTTGATGTCTCGAACGATTCGCTTTGGGCAAGTGAGTTTTGAAGGTACCTGTTCCGCTGTTCAAGGCTTGCTGCCCGATTCTGCAGCAGGTTGTTCATGAAATAAACCATTCGGAGCTTCAAGGTATGGGTATGGAGTCTGTTTTGGGACCCGTTGGTGGGCATCATCTACACGGCCTCATGTCCATATTATACCTTAACCAAATTTGAGGATTTGAGGAAGGCCCAGCTCTGAAAGAGCAAAGCCACATTGGCTGCGCCGCTTCCGTCCAGATGCCTTCTTGCAACGCATGGGCCTTGTTTAACGCATGTTCCAACCTTGATAGGCGCCCCTGGCATACCATTACATCCCTTTGACAAGTATACGCCATGTGCTGTCACATACCCTTTCCGTGTAGGTGTGGGGTCGTTGAGCCCAGTATATGCTAAGAACAAGTAAGCATAGGCAATCAACAGTGAACAAAGATAAACCAAACCAAGGTACCGTCAGCATATGTGTGGAGTTTCAACCACAATTCGGGGTCCATGTGCCAACTTGCCACATGCAAGCGAGATTCTGCGCTGCATCATGCCGGGCGCGCTGCAACCCCTGCGCTCGCAGCATACAAATAATCCAACGCATGTGGACTGCCTGACAACTGGTCCTTTCAAGTGACACTCTTAAACTTAGCCTTCAGCTGGACATGAAGGTTTACTGGTTTACTCACTTGCCCAAAGAACCCACAAATAAAAGGTGATCACTGATCACCTTTTGGGGTGACCAAAACTGGTTGCCAAATATCAGGAAAACCAAAGGCCAAAAGGTGGGCTTTGGCCAAGTGAGTTTAGGAAGGCTTACCCAGACCTTTACTGCAGCCCCCTTCTTTTGCTTCAAGCAGTTTCCGCTTGCGTTCCCGTTTTATGGGTGGCCGCGCACTTCCGGATCGGTGCTGTTCTCCTTCTCGGGCATGTGGAACTCCGCCTTCGTGGCAAGGGATGCTCGTCGTGCAAACCCCCCCCCCCTTTCACCTTTGGATTTCCCGGTTTCGGGTCCCCATCTGTTGTCATGACCAGAAGAAAGTGATCACCTTTTATATCTGGGTTCTTTGGACAACTGAGTTAAGTCAAAAGCTTCTTTTCCCAAACGCGACAACTCTAAGCGTCGGTGATGGCTGGGAACCACCAAGTTGCTGATGGGAAGGCTCATCTCTTATGTTGCTCTCAGTTCTCCTTTAGATGCTTCTTGGCATGCGGCGGAAATGACCGGCAAATGCCCGAACAATGAAACATCTCCTGGGAAATAAGGCGAGGACTCTTTGGCCTGTGGCAGCTGGTGCTCAAATGAGATGCTCTGCAAACTCACGTGCCTCCCACAGAAGTCCCCAACAAGACTGGTAGAAGAAGGGCGGTTCATTTTCAGGATGAAACATGTTCAAGGCCAAGATTGTTTACATCTAGGCTTCGATTTCTGGGGACCGCTGACCTGTATGCCTCTCATTGAAGGAACCTACCAAATCAGATTTGCCAACAGACACGCACAAGTCTTGCGTCGGCGACGCGGGGCTTCTCCAAACCAGGGCATTGAATTTGCCTTGGGTAGTGTGAGCCGTTCGTTGCGGGGTGAATCCCATGCTTTGTGCTTAGGATTCTTTGAAGATAGGACAAACAACCTTCTTCGAGAAACACCCCCGGAAAAAAAAAAAAGAAGAAGAGGTTGCAGCAAAGGCCAACATTAAGCACCATAAAAGCTCAGCCAGTACCATGTGATCACTCCCGCACCTAAGGCCACCTCGCCGCTGTTGGGACTTGAGCTGAATCCTGTTTGGGGTCCGTTCAAATTATCCTTGACTCTTCGCGTGCTCGCGGAATCAACCAAAAACGCGAGATTTGCTCAAGGGGTCAAACGGCAACACAGTCTTTCTGGGTTGGCTATTGGGGCTGTCGGGTCCGGCAATGTGCCGTCCTGCGGCCAGCGAGTGCGCTCCGGTGTCGGCTCTGGAGAGACCTCGGGTGCACCATTTATTGCCTGGGCTTCGCATCTACCCTCTGCAAAAACGAAAGTTCATGCACCCAAACGGCCATTGGTCAAACGCCCGTACCCCCAGTGAACATCCCAATCCCCACTAAAATGGACTAAAATGGGTGGCGCACCTACCCCGAAATGGTACCATTGGTTTGACCCACAGCCAAACCACGGAAACCCGATTTGACCAGTGGCCACCCAGACCTCCGGTGGGGAGAAAAACGACGCCTTTGAAGCTGACTTTCACAAAGCTCGGATGTCGGACCTTCCCATTCGGCTTCGGCTGAACACATGCACCAACAAAAAGTGCATGCACCCACCAAGGCTTGAAGCAGACATCCAAAAACCTGCAACGTTGCCAATCCGCTCAATGGCCCAGATCTATCCAAGGGACCCTGCCTTCAGTATTGACTCCAAGCCATTGGAGGCATGGGACTTGGACCGTTGCCCGTTTTCTTGGTTGCTGCTGACCCCTATGCAAAAAGTTTACCTTTTTGTGGGTTCAATGCAAAAAGCTAAAGCCTAAACATCCACCCCAGCAATCAGGTTACCACTGGTCGCTCGCCTGCTCCTTTGCAAGGCTCCGAGTCACTTGGTATTCACTTGGTCTCACCCATCTCGCCTGGCTGCGAGTCTTTTTTCGTTCCGCGGCAAGTCCCTGGTAGACTTGCTACTGGGCTTCAAGCCCCCTGGGCCTCACCGCCTGCCAGCGGCCGCCGGCCGCCAAACGCCGAGCTCAGACCAGCACGTGCAGGTCCGGCTTGAGGGTGTCTAGGTATTTGATGTCATCTTGGGAGAGGCTGTACTTGAAGGACTCCAGGTCCCCTACCTCAGTTCCGGAATCGATGCCCACTGAGACTGAAGGTCTCAAGGCCATATTTTGATAGTTTCTCATTGGGGCATGGCTCAAAAATTTGACCACCAGGGGCCCGCAGATTTTCGTCCATGTTTCCATTTACCTGGGTTTCATTTTGGGTACCAATTTTTGACCCACAGCTTTGAAGGTTGGAGAACCATTTTTGACCTCTAAGAAGCCGCCTGGAAAATCTGCAAAAAACATTGGGTCGTAACTCGACAACCACTGTTCGTAGTTGCACTGAATAGTGACTACTCATGATTACGAGTGACTATCAGTGACTATTGGGGGGCATTGGGGATCAAGGGCTGCCCCTGGCTATAGTGTATGATGGTCCTCTAAGTTGTTTCGCTTGGGCAAGCCCTCTTCTTTCTGAACGTGTGCTTGTTTCTGTATCTGCTAATGCCTGCATAAAAGATTTGCCTATGTATGCACATAAGCAAACATTCTCGTGTACCCTCCCTCTTGTCTTACCACCCTGTAGGGCAAACACTATCCGTGTTCCCTCAACAACACAAACACTTTATGTCACAAAACCTCACAGAGTCACAAAAAAAACTTCCTTCTGCCTTGATATTTCTTCAAAGGGGGGTCACAACCAGGGCAGAAATCCTTATGAAGCTCCAGGAGACAAAGGCAATGAGCTGCGGTGGGTGGGGGGGGGGGGACGGACTCTGTGGTTTGGCTCAAGCCAAATACGAACAAAACAAACTGAAACGAAACTGAAGAACTATTCCCCTTTTCTGCAAACAGTTTGAACTTGCGTGGGAAACATAATCCTGACAAACGTTGAAGGTTCAAGCCACTGAGCTGGGACATGACATCGTGTGGGTTCCCATGAGGGTACAGTTTGGGGTGGTCAAGCTTGGTGTGACCCTGACTAAATGGGTTCGACGAAATGGCCTTTTGGATGCTATGCTGTGCTTCGCAACTGATCAGAACTTGCGTATCAGAAGCTGTGTTCCGGGTCCCCGGAAGGATGCAACCCTCAAATCCCCGGTGGCCATGAAAAAGAAGCCTTCTTGAAGGGCAATCAAGAAAATGCGAAAAGGAGATGCCATGTCTGGGAACCTGGAGGCGGTCCCTGCCTTGTTGGCCCAACATGGGGGGGGGGTCATTAAGTACTAGAAACCTTGGCGGTCAAGATAAGTCGGGGAGATCTCCAGTTGAGTCTCTGGGTGTCTCTTTGCTTCCGCTGGACCCCAAAATGGCCCCAATCTTCCATTTGCTTGTTCGCCCCCTGGACAAAAATGAGAAAAATATGTCCAGGAGTGAAATCGATTCCCTCTCAGGAATGAGGAATGGAATGACCCCAAGAAACACCATCCATCTGGTGGCTTCCTTTTTTCGGGCATCCCCAAACGGTAGGAAGCAAATTAGACAAAAGTATGTCCAGTAGTGATAGGCAACTTCAAAACCAACATACTTCCAGTAGTGAAATCGATTCCAACATTTAAAACCAACAGGGGAAACTAAAACACAAATTAAGCAAAACAAAAATGGACATATTTCCAGTAGTGAAATCGATTCCCTTGAAAGCCAACAGGGGAAACCAACAAAAACAAATCTGAAGCACATGGCCCATCCCGTCCGCGGCGCGGCATGGTCCTTGGAGCACGTGGCGGTCACCGGCACCACTCCCTTCATGGTCTCCCAGCGCAGCTCCAGCTGCGCCGTGCTCATGCCGTACTTGGCCTCGCGCACTTCGGCTTCGGCTTCGGCCAGCCGGTTCCACCAACCGGAAAACGGGCGGGGGGTCGCAAGTCAAAGGCTGAGAGGGATTTGGCAGGAAGAAGTCCCTCAAGGGAAAGAGAATCCAAAAATGGATTCCCCAAGAGCCTTCCTTCTGTTTCACAGAAGGGAGGCTCTTGGGACCATTTTTGTTTGGCGCACCCACCATTTGTTCAAAGAAATCACCCATCAACAAGCTTTGTTAATCCAGGGAAGCATCGAAGGGCAGCTACCGCGTTTTGCGACCAACAAATCCACCAAGAAAATATAGAGAGGTTCTGGGGCCTGGGCAGGAGGGTATGACCCGGTGAATCTGCCGGGCCAGTTCAGTAATTTGGAGAGCCCCTGAAAACGCTACCACTTTGGCTTGCCCAAATCTGAGATACACAAATCGTATTCTCAGATTGTCAATATCTAGTCCCAAAAAACTGAAAAACGTGACAAAAACCCCAGTTCAAGAGTCCACGACGTACCAAAGAGGCCGCGAAGTCTCGGGCGAGGCGCCGCCACTTTCTTCAGCCGCTCATCGCTCAGGGGGATTCCCCTGCCGGTGCCGCCTCGAAGCTCGAAGCGGCAAAAAGGTGCGGGCAGGAATCATCATGTCACCCTCCCACCCTTTTCACATGGATGCGCTTTCTGAATTCCATGGTGTAAAACCTGCAAACAACTTGAGATGGAGCCCCTTTTGGGTCCCCCAAAAGGTGCTTCCTCCACAATTGCTGTAGGGAAGTACCCTCCCACCCTGTTCACATGGAACCGTTCGAGGTTCGGAGAAATGGTCCTGGTTTGGATCTTGTTCCTTCTGAAGGGACCGGGTCCCGAACGTCAGGTTCCGGGTTAATTGGTGGGGCAATAATTTCTCAAAGTAGTGGTACCCCCTGATTTCAATGGTTGGTTTCCTTTGGTTATCTTTGGTTCCCTTCAAAACCGACCAAAAAGTGGTCCACTTTGGGAAGCCCAAACAGCTTCTGCACAAACCCGCCCCGCAACCGTTGGTTTAGAATAGGTCCAGGATTTTTTGCCAGCCCAGAGAGGGGGTCCACTTTGAAGAATGTGTACTCCTCTGCATTTCCCGTAAATCACTCAATCTGAAAACCTCGTGCTTCCAAAAAAAGTAGCGCTTTCTTTGGAGGTATTATATTCTTAGAGGGTTTCTGGGTCTCCTGGTGGACTCATGTCGCGGTTTCGAAACCGCCACCCCCGGCCCCTTTCGCGCCGCGGCAAGGGGCTGGTGGGTCCGGCCAAGGACGCCCAGGCCTCCAGTGTTGTGCCTTAGAGGAAACCGAGGTGAGGCGATCCCAAAACAGTTGCTGGGTACATATAGAAGCCCCCCAACGGGTACAGGCGGCTTCCAATTTGGCCATGTGATGTTGAGCCCTCTTTTGGGAGGGTGTGTTCCCCTCCCTCCAAACCAAAAAAACAGCCCTATTAATAAACTGGTGTTGACTAATACTGTGGATGGACGAAACCCTCTTAGGCACCACCGTTCAGAAACGCTGGAATGATTCGATTTCCCTTGGAAATACCATGGTTTCAAAGTGGTGCAAGAATTCTGTCCATCCACATGTTCAATGAGGAGGTAAGTCAAGCTGGTTGGCGCAACCAAAAAAAACACTTTCAGCAGTTGATCTTGCGGCCACTGAACAAGGACAGCCAAATAGTTGAACGTCGAACAAATGACCTCCATTTGCTTAAGTCCCCTGAAACAAATAAAACAACATAATTCCAGTAGTGATAGATTCTCTTTAAAACCAACAGGGCAAAGACAAATGGAAGATGAGCACAGTTGGCCTTGATTTCTGAGGGGAGCAAAAAACTGAACCAGTCGCCGAGGGCGGCACCCAGCTTCTTCATGCCGCTGAGCAGGGGCTCATCATGATAGCCCAGGTGGAACTGAACCTGAACGCGGCAACCCTCGCGTATTTCAGGGCGGACATCCTCCAAATTACGCTGTGAATCGTGGCTATTTTGGACAAGCAACCCGCAAAAGTGACCTCAAAGTGCGACCGCTTTCACGGCACGCAGCTTCCTTTGAACAAGTACCGGTTGGTGACAAGAGTGTAAACACAGTCAGGGCCAGTGCCCAGTGTAGTCGGCCTCTGGCCTTTTCAGGGGTCTCCCAGCGATTGCGTTCACCGAGGGAAATCAGCTTGACCGGAAACATGGACCTGCGGTGACGAGAAGACCCCTGTGTGTCTGTGATGTCCAAGACAATCCCACAAAGAAAAGTTGAGGAAAGGGCACCACTGCCACAGGGACCTTTGAAGCATACACCTCACGATCACTTGGCACAATTTAAGGAACCAGGCAGCGTTTGATGCTGCCAACATCCATCCTTTCAGGAACCCGCCGTCACAAAGAAAGTCCAGACTTGCTGCTGTCCTCTAAAAGGACC